CCATCTCCGGTCGAATTTGATTTTCAGGGTTTGATCTATCTGGTGTTCGAGTTTCAGATCTGACCTCTTGAGTCATCGAGGATTCATCCTGTTCGTTGCATTGGGAGTCATTTTCATCGTCTACACTAAGTACTTGGAGAGTGATCAGCATTTCGTTTTCCATCTTTCTTAACGCATCCCTGTTTCTTTTAATAATCGTTGCTACCTCCATGGAGTATGTAACCACCGGTGTAATTAGACAATGGTACAGTCTCTTCACCACTGACCATTTCAGCGGATGTTCTTTAAGGAAAGAACAAAGATGGTAAAAAGCTTTCTGGGCTTTTCGAATTCTGTCTGCTGTGGTCGCTCCTCGCGTTAAGCTACTAGTTATCTGGGCGCCCAGATACTTCATGATTGTAACCAGCGGCAACTCGTATCTTCCAATTTTCACAGTTTTTTCGGGAGCTATGTTCTTTGTTATTTCCGGATCTCTGTACAAAACTTTCGTTTTCTTAACATTAATTTCCAATCCAATTGAATGTAGCAGCGGCTCTAGTATAGATAAGAGCTTCTCTACGTCTTCTTCCTTGTTGCATATAAAAAGGAGATCATCGGCATATCCTAATATGCAAGGTAGTTTGATGGTGAACTCGTGTGACAATTTTAATTCCGGCATAAACTCCTTTACTGACATCAGCACGTGATGGAGCATCAATATAAAGAGCTGCGGACTGAGCGGGCAGCCTTGTTTCACTCCTCGTGACTTTTGAAAAATTGCTGTTCGTTGTCCATACCATTGGATCGAAGTTTCCTCGTGAAGGCAGGCCGAGATGATTCGATTCACCAATGCTTTTGAAACTCCCAACTCTAACAGTATTGTTCCTGCCTTCGAGATGTCTAGCCTGTCGAATGCCTGCTTCAGGTCTAGAGATACCAATATTGTCTTGCAGCCTTTCCTCCATCTTTCATCAAGTATCCTCCGCAGAACAAATATCTGGTCAGATGCACTTCTTTTGGCCTGGAATGCCATTTGATAACCAGGGATGGGTTCAATTTGTTTCCTCAAACGATCCAGCAGAATTTTGGCATAAATTTTGTAGGTACTCGGACAGAGTGTGATGCACCTGAAGTCTTCAATGGTCTGTGGATTCGGTATTTTTGGAATCGGAATCTGTACCGTTTCCGTCCACGACTTTGGTACCATGTTCGTTCTGAAAACTTCCTTCATCAATGATGTGGTTTCTTCTAAGAGTTCTTCCGTACCGTATTTAAAAAACTCATTGTGGAGGTTGTCCAGTCCTGGTGCGCTATTGTTCCTCGATTCCCAGATGATGTTTCTAATTTCTTCTTTAGTCGGTTCAGCTCCTGCATCACGGCCGTCGTCTTCCGGGAACGTATTGACCTGGGAATCTGAGTTCTCGGCTGTGAGGTCTTGAATTTTCTGGTTCCATCTCTGTATTGGTATATACCGCCTGTTTCCATTGTCCTTCCTTCGTTTGTGGCCTTTAATAAATTTGAACGTTTTCGACATTTGGGCAAGAGGATTTTCTTGTTCAATTTCAGACAGAAATACCTGTACTTTGTCGTTGAAATGATCCACATAAGCTTGTTTCTTCTCCTTTCTAGCTTTAATGGCCGCTGCTTTCAGTACTGGATTATTGCGATCAGCCAACTGCCTTTGATGAGCCTGCAAGTACTTTTTTGACGCATTTACTCTGCGAGGCGTCTCAGGTGATCCAGGATCTGTCAGTACTGTTTTAGCTGCATCGTTAATGGCTGTCTGAATATTCTTCCACCTGTCATCGATACTAGGAGTGGCTTCTTGCGGAGTTCTTGCCAGTTTTCTGTTAATAATTTCTTGGAATCTGATTCGCTCTTCCTCGTTGTTTTTCAGCAATTCCAAATCAATTTTTAGCCTTTTTGCCTGTCGTCCTTTTGGGTGACTTGTTTCAGTCCTCTCCTCTTTCTTCATTGTGCAAGCGATCATTTTGTGATCGCTTTTTAGCTCTGCCTGATAGTATGCACGAATTATCGGAATTTTCATGAAATTCATTTTGGTCATGATGACATGATCGAGCTGCGAGCTGGTCTTTCCATTACTCCATGTTGTTGTGACGGACGCTGAAGTGCTGAATGTAAGATAATTTTTAAGCTGAAGACCATGTAGAAAATTTTTTAACCCCATTCCGTTCGCGTTGCAATACTCGTGGAATAGACTATTTCCAATCACCATTCTATCTTCATTTGTTAGATCCTTCTTCCCGATACGAGCATTGAGATCCCCGACAACGACTATGTTCCGCTTGATGCACGCTGGAAGGTTTACCACATATCTGGATACAATGGAGAATTCACGACTTTCAACTTGGCTTTCGGTCCTTATATAGGACGAGATGATCAGAACGTTTTGTCCAAAAATTTCACATAAATAGGAACACGAATTGTTACTTATTTAATTAGGTGAACTAGAGATTTCAATTATTTATTAAATTATACTAATGAGATATCATAATCATCAAATGAACTTAAATAAGAAACTTCAGAAAGTCTAATAACATTAGGTAGATTAACAAAAGAATTAGGATGCGGGGATCCGCTTAGGGAGGCAACTAACCTTTAAAGTTGTGAATTGAGGTCATTCTCGCATTCGTATTTTGTATAAACGACACAATGATATGTAGGGTAAGGTAGGGCAAGATGGGTCAGCTACTACATTTCTAAATTTGTTTGTTTGACAAAATCAACAGTTTCAAAGCAACCTCAATGATAGTTTGCTTTTTCAATCCAGCATTGGGGTTATATTGAACCCTGTTGATGTTGACAAACAAACCAATAATGAAATCAAGTAGATGACCCATCTGGGCTTCGTAGTCCTATGGTTACAGCGTCGTCTCCTGTCGTTCATGCGCATTGTGTGTGCCACGAAGTGAGGGTTTGATTCCCACTCCAGCCGGTGAAACTTTTTCTAAATTTAAATGTCTCTACTGGTCTAGGTTAGGTTAGGTTAGGTTTCTTTCAGCCTGGGGTTGGTTCGCCTCCACTACTGCTGGTCTACTGGATGTTGTGTACTGTCCATTGCTCTTGACAATGTGTCACTAGCAACCAAAAATATCTATTTATATTGTCCATATGACGCACTGTTCTTCGAAAAATTGAATAACTGTAGATTATGTAGTTCCCCTAATTGGATAATAAATACCTACACACTTAAATTCAAAATCTGTCCTCTGTTCAGTAAACTGAAAGTTTGTCGATGTTTCGTTGAACATATAATAGTTTACCGAAATTCGGATCTGGTTTTAGCAAAATTTCGGTCAACACAATCATTTACCAAGCCTCGTCAATAGGAATCACTGGTCTAATGGGAAAATTCTCAAACTGTCTAAACCCGCATAATAATTTAACGAACTTACGGCATTCACATTTTACTTTGCCGAAAATATCTGTCAAAACGGACCTTCGGATTACATAAAAAAAATGATGTCAACCTTACAGTGGTCATCTTGCCCCGTCTACCCTTATACCACAATAGATCAAATAACAGGTCGCAGTGTCCCATAGGAAATAAAAGCAACTGCAATTTTATTTTAAAATGAACGATGAGTCAAAATGCGATGTACCCTTATTTGAACCTGGAATCTAACAAATCGTCTGACATGCTCTTCGTGTTCAAACCTTCATAGGCAAACCTAAACCACAATCGGGTAGAGGAGAATTTTCCCTACCTGTTCATTATGTTGGTTTGCCTTTGCGGACTTCGGTTCGCGAGAAAATGACCTTACAAGGTTTGTTAACAAAATGGAGTTAAGGCCATTTCAATTGTTGGTCTTGGAATACAGCAACCCTCTTACTCAAACTGAAGATCCATGTAAGCAGGGTTGAGAAAATATCAAAAAATCAAATCTCGCCAATGACCAAGATCACGCTTGATTTTCGTAGACAAAAGTCAACAAGCAAGTAAGTAAGTCGAAGCTATGAATATCAAGTTAACAAAACTCACCAGCTACAATTCTTACCGTGGTGAGTTTGAGTTTCATGATTTTTGCTTTACATCCGAACGCGACCCGAAACTACCGTCACTATTGGCAGTAGTAACTTCGTGTATGCCATCGGTGAAGAGTTAAGAGAGATAGCAAACTATACTTACTCTTTCTGAAAAAAAGATGTGGAACAGAACCATATTTGTGTCGAGTCGACTCTCAGTGAACCGCACCCCAAGCTCCTCCCCTGATCCTATCATTCGACAATGTACCCCTCTAACCTCGGGTAAGACGCGAGTATTCGGCCCAACTTCTACTAGACATAGAAATAAGAGAATAACGCGATTGAGCCTTCCACAAATAAACGAACTAGATAAAAAAATCTCAGCTTCATTTTTTACATGTTGTGTGGAGCTTGTAAAACCAATGTCAAGCATGATATTTTGTTCCAATATCACGCGTGATATTGAGAGCGTATGAGCGGAAAAATATAATTTGATTGATGATTTTCCCAACACTGATCACACTTAAGTATGATGGCAAAAACACTGCCCTACATAAACTAGGATTGTGCAACATTCAGCGGATTTGATAACTAAAAAAAACATGCATGAAAGTGTATGAGAACCAATTACTGATGAAACGTATGGGGTTAAATATGAAACCATTTCACATTATTTTCAATCCCGTGTAGAACGAAGCACTCATGAAACATCTTCTAGAACCCCATTCAATTGTGAGACCTATCCTATACCGATACAAAATGTGGAAATTTTCCTTACATTGCATATTTTCAATTTTGATATTTTGAAAATCGAATAACATTTCTTCAAAAGTACATAATAGGACACTCGTTACACTATGTTATAACGACGATATTACTGTTGGTGTGTTTGTAGGTACTAGATGTAAGTAGTGTAAACCCAATGAAACAAAAGTAAACGATGGACTAGTGTTGAATGAAATTATAAAAATCGATGACTTTCTCCACAAATAGAACAGATATAGAGAAGTAGAATATAATTGTAAGATCAATACCCGAAACTTCCACTCATGGGTTTTCATCAACATGGCCAGCTTATCATCGCCTGCCTGAAGAAGCAGTAGGAAATCATTTCGTTAATATTGTTCTCATTGATAATTGCTCGCTATATAGTAGCGTCTCAGTTCACTACAACGCCAGTCAGTAAACAAGATCGACTATATATGATACTGGGGTGAACTGAAAACGCAACCTAATTTAAAATTAAGGGACAACACACGCGGTCAATAGTGAATACCGCACATTACATTAATGGCTTACTGACGACGCTAGAAAAGTGAAATGATTGTCTAGCAGAGAGGCTTGTCGACTGCATGCACCGCAACCGTTTGTTTATACATCATCATCTACGGACGTCGTTAGTGATAAGTCTCACGCGATTGCCAAATGAAAAGTGTTGGAATCAATAAACCAATAGCCAAGAACCGTCGTGGCCTAACCATGTAACACAATATTATTCCGAATCACGACCGCGCGATGATAACCTATTGATCTGAGCTCGATCCGATAGTGGGCTGTTTACGGTTTGCTCTTTATAAGTCTCGGTTACTAATAGCGATTGAAATATAGTTTAAACAAATTTGAACAAAATAAACGCGAGATTAAAACTCAAAATCTAAGAAAAATTTTCCACATTTTCGCATTCTAAAATAAACAGCCATGTTTACAAAAATCAAAAATGATTCTAACGAAAATAAGCCTGATTATATGGAGCAATATATGTGGGGGAAATTGTGAAATTTGCAACTTGCAACATAATCGACGGCCTCACCTTGTCCTTCTTATCCTGGCGAGCATAAGGGAAACAGGGTATCACAGCGGTCACACGGGAAGCGGAAGCGATCTTGCACGCATTGATCATAATTAACAGCTCCATCAGGTTATCGTTGATCTCCCCGGATCCGGACTGTACGATGTACACATCTTCGCCACGTACTGATTCGCCGATTTCGACGCTGAAACGATAAACGCACGATTGATTTAGTAATGTGAATTAGGATTGATAGAGGGCAATGCACCATTTAGTCTAGAATTGTGTGCACACAGATGGCGCTGTTCCATTGGTAGTAAGTAAGTAATACAAATCCTCATATAGAAATTTGGAAAAGTGGAAATAATACACATTTGATGCATGTTTATGGTCAAAACAAGTTGACGACAACTTACAGTAATCATTTATGGACTTTGTCGTTCAGTTTTTTCCTGGAAATTATTGTTAAACAAGCTACAATTAAATAAAAAAAAATTCCCGTGCATTGTTCACCACTTTTACCAGTCCCCAGACCCAGAGAGCCAAAAAAAAATCAAATTTGGAAGCATTCATCAATCGATAAGCTCCTGTTCTCTATGAAGAAACCGTTGATATGCAAAGCATGGACTTTCGAAGAACTGACTTCGTTGCATTGAGTCACTCACTGGGCCCAGGTAGATTGGCAATTACTTGACTTGTGTTCGTCCATTGATGACGCCATTAACTACGTCGACGAAGTTGTGAGCCGATTAATATTGAAGCGTGTCCATTTGAGGAGACCTGCTCCAAAACCTCCATAGTCTAATGCATGATTACGACACTTGAAGCGTGTGAGATTGAAGGATCTTTGCAAAAACAGTCAGTCCCGTAATCCATTCACCAAGCGATTATTTTCGTTAGCAAATAAATAATGACTATCGAATGTACAACCGTTTTCTATACAAGAAGTACTCAAAACGTATGCAGATCAATGTCCGGCTATTCTGGACGTTTGTGAAAACAAAAAGGAAAGAGGATGAGCTACCGATTGAGATTTATCTAAGAGATAAAAAAAAGCCAACACTGTTTTAGAAAAAGTATCCTTCTGGCAGAGCATTTCAAGAGTGTTTTCAACGACTCTACGGTATCGGTAAGTTAAGTTGCCGAAGGGATCAGAGATACTCCCAGAGACGCGTTCAGTTTTGATATTTTCATGGCCACATTTGACGGCATTTCAACGTGCATACTCAAAAGATGCTCAACAGAGCCTTCCTCGCCGCTTTCAAAGCTGTTAAATATTTCACTACAACAAGGTGTATTTCCTTCTCGTTGGAAATCTTTGTTCATCTTCACGATTTTCGCGAAAAGTGGAAAATTATCTAGGAATTACATTACTTTGGGCCTGCTCGAAAGTATTCGAGATAATCATAAACGACGCCCTAATTTGCCACCTGTAGAAATTACATTGCTCCTTACCAGCATGGTTTTCATCCCAAACGTTCGGGCTCAACATGCCTACGGAATATGGAGGCAGGAGTACAGGATCTCAAGGCTGCTTTCGACCGGATTGATCATGCCATTCTACTTGCCAAACTCGAGAAGCCCGGTGTCTCTCAAAGACTCACACGTTGGTTTGAATCGCATCTTACCAATCGAGAGCTTTGTGTAAAAATCGACTCGGACTCGGAATATTTTTGCTCTATGCAGACGATGTCAATATGTACGTGGTTGTGCGATGCATCACTGATTGCTTGCGGTTGCAGTCCCTGATCGATAGTTTCGAAGAATGGTGCTATAGGAATTTTCTTACGTTGAGTGTTCAAAAATGCAATTTCATCTAAAAAAGCAAATAAATTATATCTTCCATTAAATTACACTTAATTTATGTTGGTATCCATACGTATTTTGACTACAATGTGCAGTCTTCATCAGTGTCATTCCCACACTAAAGACTTATCAAAAATCTAAACTCCTTAAGATATCATCACTTTCTATTGCAAACTAAAACCTATTGCATTCAATTATACGATCGATAACCAACCTCTGAGCGGCGCCTGTGGTGTAGTAGTAAGCGTGATTGCCTCTCACCCCAAAAGACCGGTCCATGAGTTGATGGGTTGATAGGTAGGGTCTAGGTGTGGGAACTGCTTCCCAGGCGTTGGTACTCAGTACGGAGAACAAGATCGACGGAAAACAAATCAAGGGAAAAAACTCTGTCGCGTATAGATAACGTTCGTGATCTAGGAATTACACTTGCTTCAGCTTTGACATTTCAGCTACATTACACGGATATCATAGCCAAAGTTAACAGGCAACTCGGATTCATTTGTAAGATCTCTGATGGCAGGCAGGTAGGATGTCTGTACTGTTCTCTAGTGCGGTCGATCTTGGAATTTGGGGTAGTAGTATGCTGCCTATAATTCCGTATCAGACCCATATGGAAAAAGTAGACTGAGGAAATGACAAATCATCGTCCCTGCCTAGCTTTGATTTGAAAATGTTCAATCATCAGCCCTTCTACGTCAATAGGCTTATCAATGAAATGAAAAAAAAATGAATGGTTGGCCGTTTTAGTGTGCGGGCCATGAATGAATCAAAAAATTTCTTTGATCGGCCGTTTCGAAAATCGAGTTATTTTGAATGATTTTTATCGATTATGCGAAACTTTTCTATACGATTAGTAGCTATCAAGCGGTGCTATAGAATGTTATCAAAACCCGATTTGTTTTCGTTTTGGACATAGGGCCATTTCAAATAAATTTTATATTCCAGAAATAGATAATTGTTTTAGATTAGGGTAAAGAACTACTTCGGCCTAAGCGCCCATTTTGGGCCTATCAAGCAGAAAACATCAAATAAATCCATGATTTCGGCGTTAACAGGTAAATTATGCGTTTGGTACGATACTTTAGTTCAAATTCTACCGAACGAAGTCAATGAGAACGCGTGATATGAATATTTGCACCCAATATTCTCAAATACAAATATTTATCTTCATCCGATAGGCCGAAGTGAATTCATTGGCGTTTCAATCCGTTAGGCCGAGTTTGGCGTCAAGAAGCAGTGTTAGACTTATAACAATATCTCAACAATTTGTTTCTCTTTATCGGTATGTAAGGAAAGGTAAATAAATTTGAAAGCCATCAATAATAATAACATTCCGTTTGGTGCTAAACTACGCTAGATTAAGAAAGACTAAGTGTGGGTTGTGCTTAATAGGCCGGAAATGTAATAGTTAACCTTATATGGCATGAAAAGTTTTCAAGTTTCTAAAATTAACAAACAAAAATATTCATAATGCCATACTCTGGGATATTGCTAATATTTTTTAGATGTCTGACTTAATGTCTGGTATCCTGTACTATGGAAAATAAAATCCGGACTTGAAGAAGTATTCAAGATTCTAAGAAAAATATTTGAGATAATACATATTCTAAGCCCGATATCTCAAATATTTTTCTTCGGATTTGGAATTCGATTAATTAGTTTAAGGTTCCAATCAAATTGCCGACTATTGTCCGGTGACCAGCCTGAACAAGGTTTGAACGACTTTGATTCCCGTAACGGTCGGGAATCTTTTATATGGGAAATTGTTGACAACATGATATATCGGTCTCTAATGTTTGACCGTGAGTTCAATAATACATATTTGAGGATAGACTCAAACAAAATTAAGAGTTAATTTGGAAGTTTCCAAAAAACACTACGTTGGGGTCATGTGTGAAAATTTCAATAATGCAACGTAACAGAAGAATGTTGTATACTCTTTGAAAGGTGGAGCATATCGCAGAAACGAGCAACAAGACACCCGAGTGGCAAAGCGATTACATTATTGCATGAAGAAAACCGATTAAGTTCAATGTAGAACAGGATCTCGCTATCAATTTAACTCATTTGGCAACAGCTGACTGGAGTTCACGACACCGCTAATAATAAATATGTAATCTGTGACTAGAACTGACTTTCACTCGTAAAAACTGAATCAAAATTGATATACTCAAGAACCACTTTGTCATTATATTGATAGCAACAAGGCCGAAGGTTTTTGTGAAGTGATTTGGATGAAAATCTAGTTGTATGCCTTGGAAAGATTTAAAAAAATAGATCTTGCTAATGCTTAAATGCTCATTTAAATGGCGTGACGGAGGGAGAAGAGGGATGTCAAAAATTGGGGGTGGCAATTATCCACAGCTCATACAAATTAAAAAAAAATGTATCGACAATTGTCTACGTAGTTAATGAACAGCCCATTAGGAGTCCTTTGCAGGGCTGTCGTCTGATCACTCAATGTGCGCAATGTACTGATTTTCTGAAATAAACAAAGTGAGAAACAAGCAAACACAAAGTTTGCTTTCTTTCACCCTGCGCAAGTGTAAAGCAGAGGAGAAGAGAAGACAGACACACTCCCAGAAATAACGAAAGCTCAATATGTAGCCATCGCTCTGATGGCTCCGACGCAAAGAGGGCCACTCAGTGTAGGGTTGCAAATGGGAAACCAAGCAAAAAGACAAAATTATTCTTCGTTATGCCCTTCTTCATCTCCTATGCATGCAGCCGTGGTAAGCAAAGTCTGCAAAGAACTCAAAGAAGACATTAGCACTTGTTGTATTATTGGGTCTGTTTATAAACTCCGTAGAGTTTTTTGGGATTCTTGACCCCCCTCCCCCTCCCCCTGCGTAGACAATTGTCAATTTTTTTTAAATTTGTATGGGCCGTGGATAATTATCAACCCCCCCCCCCCCCAACTGTCTACGTAGTTTATGGACAGCCCCTATATTCACGGAGTGTACCGCTCATTGTGTGGATCGCTTTCTCACAGGTTAGTTGGAAAAGAGTGTGCGGAGCAAATGGGAGAACCACACATTTTTTTTTTTCCTTGATTTGTTTTCCGTCGATCTTGTTTTCCGTGCTAAGCACCAATGCTACCGACGCCAGGGAGGCAGCTCCCACACCTGGACCCTACCTATCGACCCATCAACTCATGCACACAGTTGCTTTGCTAACGCTCTGAGGTGCTTTCGAGCTCTGGTCCTTTGAAACTCAATTTCATATTCCCGGAGTTCTTATCACAATTCTTTTGGAATTCATTTCATAATTCCTTTACCGTTGTTTTTAGTTGTGTTCAAAACTACCGGGAATTGTCACTAAAATTTATGTTGGGAGTATCCTCATAATTATTATCAGAGTTCCTTGAAATTCTCCTCAGAATTTATTTTGGAAAACCATATGACCTGCTCTATTTCCGCGCAGCACCTAACAGTTGACAGTTAACCTCCTCTACTGATGCGTTTACCCTAATTGATTTTTTTTTTCAATATTATTAAGGCAAACACATCAATAGTGGAGGTACGTTAGTGCAATGTGTTCCTATAGTGGTTTATGGAGTATCGATAAGCCACTACAGGAACATTGCCCAACGTACCTCCACTATTGGTACGTTTACCCTACCGAAAATGTTGTCGTTTTCGTTTTTGCGGTGTAGCTACACCGGTGCTACACTGCCGTACACCGAAATATTTCAGGGTGTAGATATAGGATGCACCTTTGTTTACAAACAAATGATGTTGAGCTGTCAAAGACTCGCGCTTAATCCTGCTTACACTACACCAGTGCCGATGTGCGGTATAAGAGGTGAGGAGAAAGGAAACTAGTGGACTCTTTCGTTCTCGCGTCTTCTTATGCAGCAACAGACGTGACGTCACGTCTGCTGTTGCATAAGAACACCGTTAGAATGAAAGAGTCTACTAGTTTCCTTTCTCCTCACCTCTTATACCGCACATCGCACCAGTACTACACCGCAAAAACGAAAACGACATTAGACTATCGAGTCATCTTTACAAAAGCATAAACAAATTTGACAACTGGTTACACACACGTACAAAACAAAATATTGATAGAATAATAACCACAGATTTAGAGCAGCGCCGTACTACAATCCTCAACAAGGGGAACTAGGAACATTATAAGCACCCGGGCAAATGGGACACCCCCTGTATTTTCCAAAATATCAGATATTTTTCATTCCTCTTCTGAATGAGTAATTTAACGAGTGAACTAATTTCAAACTGTTCCTCCTAATCAACGTAAATCCTTGAAAAAAAACGCATAGGCTTGCTGTGTGCTGAAAAATTATAATTATCACGTATAACCAAATAAGGTGTAGCGGCAGATGACGATCGTTAGACTACAATTATCATTTGTTGTGGAATATTCAATTGTTTTTGTTGTTCCCACATATATCGTTGATTGATTTTCGGTAGGTAAATTAAGGCTGTGAACCATTTGCCGAGTTAAATTTAACTCGTGGTTAAAAGTGACATTTAGAAAGCTATTTTCTATGTTCGAAAATCTCTCTGCTATCGATCGACCGATTGTGAGAACAACTTAGCCAAGATTGTCAAAATTTAACTTCATGTCTGTCAGAAGTAACCACGCTCGGATAGCAGGGTTAATCGATAACTTTCCATCCGTCAAATTTTCACCAAAAGGTTCAGAGCCTAACATAGTCAAAAACTAACGATAAAATATCTTCTCCCGTTTGGGTAGACTTTAAGGTGTCCATACTGCCCCGTAAGTGTGTCCATTTTGTCCCGCTAGCTTTACGATGTCAATGTAATTTAAAAAATTTTCAATTTTTTTTTTTTTAAGTAGGATCAAGTTATTTTTTAAATTTGCTTCAATGTGCAACTGTTGCCAAATTAGTGACAAAAGTGTGTAGTACATAACACAGCGATATTTTGATACCTATCAAGTCAAACTTAACCTCTCACCCCAGCAGGCCTGGGTTCAATCCCAGTCGGCGCCGCCGGGATGTTCTGAGGCATAATATCTCTGATCACGCCTTCCTTCGGATCGGAATTAAAGCCGTTGGTCCCCGGTTATGAGTTGATGGGTCGATAGGTAGGGTCCAGGTGTGGGAGCTGCCTTCCTGGCACGTTTGTAGCATTGGTGCTCAGCACGGAAAACAAGATCGACGGAAAAAAAACAAAGAAAAAAAAACTCAAACTTGGTAACATCCTTAGGGTGTTCATAATGTCCCTAGTTCGCCTAATTCTACTCATAGCTCCGTTGGTATTCTTCATATAATTTGCCTAAAGTTCTCCTCGCAAAGCCCTTGCACTTAATTTGAAAATTACCTTGGAATTCTTCTCGGCTTTCGCCATCCCTTCACTACGCTGCCCCCCCCTCCTACTCTGTTTTGAAACTAGAGGTTGTGATCGACGTTCAACTCTTGAAGCAAATTTAAAAACCTGCACGGAATGCTGACCCTATTGAACTATGATCTATCTTGTATTCCGTTGTGCCCAATAACACAGCGACAACCATACATCAAGATCGTATTCATTAAACTCGATTGACTGAGCAAACGAAACAACGAACGTGGACAATATAAAAGACTACTAGATCAACCGTTCTTTCATTCTGTGCAGTTTTGAAAAATTCCAAAATAATTTTGTGGATAACTTAAATTGCGTCGGAAATGTCGATAAGTATTATCAAAAATATAGGGGAAATGTCGACTTCGGCAATACATTAAGCTATTATCGTCAGGGGGAAACAAAGTCCTAGAGCACTCAAATTTGGCCAGTAGATGATCTGAAACACAATGTATTCACATGCCAAATTGAGCTCTCAAGCAGTGATGGAAAAGTTCGCAAAAAATCACTATGACTCGCAAACTTTTCCCTTGGAGAACTTCGTGATGTATCGCGAACTTTTCCAACACTGCTCTCAAAGATGTTGTTTACCCCCTGACGATAATAGAATAAGGTATTGCCGAGGCCGAATTTAGAAAAAACAAAATGCACAATTTTGTCAAACAGCGCTGAATTAGGCGCTGCGCAGAATTATGGCACTTTACAAACATATACCAACCTAGTGCCGGCTAAACAGAAACCAAAGCGCAGTTGCGCACAACGTCACTCTACTTGATTGGTCTCTATACAGATGTAAACAGGTAGGTATATCGAAACTTCTTACATCGTCGAGGATTCACCCCCATAAACGACGCTCAGACATGTGACTCGCTCGGTCTTGTTTATGACAAGCATATCTATATAACCAATGTTGCAAACACGAATCTTTAAACATGTAAACATATAGATCTTCTATCGCTACAATGCGTAGAAATTGAGATGCTATACATATGACTAGTTCGTTCATATTGTTACATCACATCTATTTCAAAAATTGCATCTTACGACTAAACCGTGCAGTTTATCCCGGAGGACGAAGCATTCACGAGATGCTAAAAATACTCAATCAAAATGTGTTCAGAATAAGAACCAAAAAAAGGGAAACTATCAGCAGCGAGGAAGGAATGATCGAAAATGTCGAATAAAACCGGTGTACCTCGTGGTGGTACTGCTGGGTGCTGCCGGCAGGTTTTGGCTCATGCATAATTAACTGACTATTCATTGGTAACGAAGAAAGACCACATCATTGTCCGCAAGCTGTAGAGACGATGGAGACGTGAATCAAAGAGTAGCAAAAGGCTTCAGCAATGAAAAAAAGAACAAGAGAATGGAGTAGATAGTAGACACAGAGAACACGAAATCTACCATGACATGACGATTGCTAAAAGCTAAGTTTACCTGAAACAGGTATCTAAATCAGAACATATTTCGCATTTTTTAAAACTTCACTGCTTTTCGACCCTTTAGAATAATGCCACTAAGTCTTCATTTTTACATTTTTTTTTTCAATCACACCTCAATCAAGATTTCTCAAAACACCTACAGAGGACTCCGCCGCACAAGTTCCTGCTCTTCCTGCAAATTATCCCACTATTACAAGCAAGAGCTGCTGTCACACTTCAAGGTTAAGCGAATTTTATTTTTAAAGCTTTTCTGCCATTTTAATACTTCTGATCTATTTTCTTTGCTGCCTGCCGATAGTCCACCAGCAACAAAATCCCATGTATCCTTCAATCCCCAATCCGTCCGCTTGTGTAACTTGTTTAATCAATAACACTGATCACCGGAAAAAATGCAGGGAATGAAAGAAAGAAAAATCACTCACCATGTTTCCAGATTGCTAAACTTTTTCGTGACCACCTTCCCGAGATCGATTCCGAGGCGATCCACGATGCGCGACGCCAGATCCGGATGGGATGAACCGGAGAAGACCTTGATGTTGGGCATTCTGGACTGCAGGTGCTGCTGTTGCTGCTGCTGCTGAGTGTTATTGCTTGACTTCTCCAAGTTGTTCCGGATGAGACTTCTGGCGCGAATAGAGTTTGGTGATCTGACTGGCATCACACAATCTACGGTATCAAATTAAATAAGAGCTCATTCGATGGTTGATTTATGTGTGCGCGAGTTGTAGATTGAGTGTGGAATCTGTTCTACACTGGTACATTGATAGGGAATTCCTATTACATTTTGCAGGTAGTCGTGCAACGAGCAATATTCACTCCTCCAACACAACAATACTGACGATTAGCATAGCTGCTGCAGTATCAATGATGGATGACGGCTGCGCTCAAAAACCATGTGGAAAACCAAAACAAACAATATGTTTCAGAAGATTTGGCGTTTATGTTGACCTACACACTAATTTAAACTTCAAAATTTGAGTAAGATCTATGGTGTATACACTCTATTTCAATTCTACTCAGTGACTGAGTATAGTTTAATTATCCTCTCACGGAAACCCTTATAAAAAATTACCCATAAACGAACGATAACCCAAATAGAATTAATACAAATAGTTTGGATATCAGTTGCATTTAACCAGCCCAGTGGCAGGCGCGTAGGCAACATGTTATACCGTGACAGCCAACGACATTTATATAAGGTCTGGGCCAACAGGCAGCTTACACTGAACCAATATGACATATTCCTGTTATGTGTAAATCTTATAAATTTGCGCTATAAGATAATCCATTGAAAATGATATGATTGAAAATGTGTCAGGTAAATTCTATATGAATATCTGATACATTTTCAATGCTGCTAATTTGGTAAGTTTTATATGATCGTCATATGATAAATGAAAATCGGTCAAAATATTCATCCCAGAAAACCATGACAAAACAAATGTTTGCTGTTGGATTTCTTAAAAGGCAAACCAATATGACTATATAATGATTGGGATAGATATGTTTACAATCATTAAACCTCAAAAATCAAAGGAAGCTATTCCAATGAGATATACATGTTTTACTATACTGCAAACTTAAATGACTGTCCAATAGTTTCTACATGGATGTTAACACGCGACATATCAAAAAACGTCAAAAGTCGTTAAAAGCAATTCCAATAAAATATACATGATTATCTTATAAGATATATCTTTTAGTGAGCAATATTCATCATGAAGACAGGTATATGTTACTGAATTTTCTCATAGTGCAAACTTATATGATTTTCCATTAGTTTCTAGATGTCTGTTCTCTCCCATGACATATCAACAGTTTTTCACCATGAAATATATCAGACAATATTCAAATACATCTTACCTACCGCTAACCACATTCGAAGCAAAGTTTTATCAAGTACTAAGTATGTGAAATTACGATAGAAATCATTCCATTTCGCAGTCATAGTTTTTATGTGATAATCCAATGGAATCTATCAATAATCACATAGAATGAATAAATCTGCTGACATTGCTATGTTATAAGATGTATCCAATAAACGGTACATGCCGATTTGTTTCAGTGTACTGGTGTTAGAAGCAAAATTGTTGTAAACACTGAACGAATTTGACATATTCCTGTTATGTGGAAGTCTAATAAATTTGCGCTATAAGATAATCCATTGAAAATGATATGATTGAAAATGTGTCAGGTAAATTCTATATGAATATCTGATACATTTACAATGCTGATAATTTGGTAACTTTTATATGATCGTCATATGATAAATGAAAATCGATTAAATTATAATAATTAACTGAAATGGATTTGAAACCCATAAGCATAAGCTATACTTTTCACCACAATATAATATATGTGTCATACATCAATCGAAGTAAAGTTTATGTGAAAAAAACATGAAATTTACTTCTTCTTTTGACACATATATTTAATCGATTTCTAAAAATAAATTCGAAAAATAAACATCAGGCAGTGGGAGCTTTCACAGTTGTGCCTTTTTTTTTTTATTGAAGCTGATTTGGGATTCGATCAAGATCTGTTGAGATGTGATGCTTTCGGTGTCTGTGCTCGATTCCACTGGGCCACGGCTGACTTCAAGATTGAGCTCGTTCAAATAGCATGAAGTAAGAACAGCTCTCCCGACATGGAATGTAGTGCAACTTTATGGTCGTTTTGCTAGAGTGAAGACAAATAGCACTGACAAATTTATGTTCCGTTTCGGTGGTGTGGTTTGTTCAAATCTTTCTTAATGCACCTGTGTGCAATAAATCAACGATTAAATTATATGATTTGATAAAACTGGCTCATGAAGTTCGAGTACTACTTAGGGCTGGAATCTGAACTAGCCGTGTAGAAGGCTTACAATTAGAATCATAGCAAAGTAAATATTACAGTAGAATCATTTTTTTTTTCAATCTCAATACATTCTTTGCTGGAACCAATTATCATATGAATGATAGTGTACGTTAACATCGTTGAAAATTGTTTCAATAATTTATAAAGAACAATCATGTAAGGTGTATTTTATTGGGAGCGATATTCATCCCAGAAAAACATGCAAAAACAAATGCTTGCTGTTGGATTTCTTAAAAGGCATTTCTATATGACTATTTAATGATTGGGATAGATCTGTTTACAATCTTTAAACGTCAAAAATCAAAGCAAGCTATTACAATGAGATAAACATGTTTTCCTATACTGCAAAGTTAAATGACAGTCCAATAGTTTCTACATGTCTATTTACACGCGACATATCAACAAACGTCAAAAATCAGTAAAAGCAACTCCAATAAAATATACATGATTATCTTATAAGATATATATTTTAGTGAGCAATATTCATCATGAAAACAGGTATAATTTACTGAATTTTCTCATAGTGCAAACTTATATGATTTTCCATTAGTTTCTAGATGTCTGTTCCCACCCATGACATATCAACAGTTTTTCACCATGAAATATATCAGACAATATTCATATACTTCTTACCTTCGCTAACCACGTTCGAAGCAAAGTATTATCAAGTACTAAGTATGTGAAATTACGATAGAAATCATTCCATATCGCAGTCATAGTTTTTAAGTGATAATCCAATGGAATCTATCAATCATCACATAGAATGAATAAATCTGCTGACATTGCTATGTTATAAGATGGATCCAATAAACGGTACATGTCGATTTGTTTCAGTGAACATTGCTGAACATCTGCGAACAGATAGAAATACGTCACTGCCAACATACCAAGAAAAGATAGAAATACGTCACTGCCAACAGCTGTTTCGTGTAAAAAGATAAACATTGCAATAAATAACAAACACCACTAAACATTTGCACATTTCACTAACACCAATAAGCCCTTTGGCCCAGACCTTATATAAACGTCATTGCGTGACAGCGGGCCAAGCACAGCAAAATAAACGATTTGAGCCCGGGACACCCGCATAAACGCGAACCATAAATTGACCTTACCTAAAATGGTTAAAAATTGTTTATAATCCCTGTTAAACTTTAACTGAAATGGTTATGGAACTTTACATGAACGTTTAATGATAAAGTTTCAACCTTATGTATTATGGTTTTTTGGAACTGGACCTTACAAATAATGGGTTGTTAAGAACCATTACCATTCCAAATTCTTGTTTTCTCCATACATTTTCAGAAAGAGAACTATATAAGAACGTTTTTACTTATGATTTGAGAACATTAATGGTAATGGTTATGGTAGTCAGTAAGGTCCATTAATGGTTTTGTATTATCGCTCAACTTTACGTGGAATATATCGTGAATTGGTAATCAGTAAATTACAGGCAACCAATTCGCGATATATTCCACATAAAGTTGATCGATGTTACAAAACCATTCGTGGACCTTACTGACTACCATAACCATTACCATTAAAGTTCTCAAACCATAAGTTAAAAGGTTCTAATATAGTTCTCTTTCCGAAAATGTATGGAGAAAACAAGAATTTGGAACGGTAATGGTTCGTAACAACCCATTATTTGTAAGGTCCAGTTCCAAAAAACCATAATACATAAGGTTGAAACTTTATCATTAAACGTTCATGTAAAGTTCCATAACCATTTCAGTTAAAGTTTAGCAGGGATTATAAACAATTTTTAACCATTTTAGGTAAGGTTAATTTATGGTTCGCGTTTATGCGGGCATGCTGCCTGCTGTCAAATACCCCGTTCACATCAAAGACATTTATATAAGGTCTGGGCCAACAGGCAGCTTACTGGTGTTAGAAGCAAAATTGTTGTAAACATTGCTGAACATCTGCGAACAGATAGAATTACGTCACTGCCAACATACCAAGAACAGATAGAAATACGTTACTGCCAACAGCTGTTTCGTGTAAAAAGATAAACATTGCAATAAAATACAAACACCACTAAACATTTGCACATTTCACTAACACCAATAAGCCCTTTGGCCCAGACCTTATATAAACGTCATTGCGTTCACATTACAGCGTATATCACGTGATATACGCTGTCCTGCAATGAGCACTCATACATCTAGTTTTCACTGGAAATCCTATGTATGAGTGCTCATTGCAAGACAGCCTATATTACGTGATAAAGGGTGTAATGTGAACGGGATAAAACGCTGCTGTTGATATATGCCTTGTCACTGGCCTGCATTCAACAAGGGAGTTTACTCAGTGACTGAGCAAGTTTCCTTCGGAATTTCCGTCAGAGAAAAAGAGAGGGAATACAATTCTACTCAGTCACTGAGTATAGAATTGAATAATAGAGTGTATGCATATCGGTCAAAAATGAGTAACTAAATTGGGAGGGACAAGTGAACTAATGGACAACATCGACCTGAATCCGATCGGTGTTGTTCATTTATCAACTTCTAATTCGAGACTTCCGCTTAATGACGTACGAGGTGGCGTACACAGCAACATAAAATGTGATATCGATCAATGTAATTCAAGCTGATGTATCAAATATTAATGTGATTGCAAAAAGTAGATACATTGTGTTCGTAAAAATTTCTTACACGCTATTTTGAGGCTACTGAGTGACTGGGTATAGATCGCACTCATTTTTGCATGCTGTATGGAGTTATCCAAAAATGAGTGAACTTGTTTTGCTTCGATGAGTGAGATCTACAATATCATTTTTTGTTAAGTTCAAAAAGGTTCAAAATGGTGCACTTTAAAGTTGTGAACAGGCGATTTTTGCACAGTGCGTTTAAAATTAGATTTTAGAAGTGAAGCAGTTACGTAATGACCTGGAAAGCTAACAGCAGCTAGTTGGTAAGGTATACAACTCTAACAAATAGTTCTTTGGTATAATTCCTTTTCCGAGTAATGTTCGCATTTATGCGGGTTTTTTCTGTGTATACATACCATCATTATATTTATATATCCGCTTGAATTACGTTGATCGATATCACATTTTTTTTTGCCGTGCAGTTGTTATGGTTATCCTATACACGCTATTTCAAAACTACCCAAATTTAAGTAGAATACACCCAGAGCGGTTAAAACTGAACCTACCCAACATCGATATGAATCCGATCGACTATGTTCATTAGTCAATTTGTCACTCCTAACATACACAGTAACTCGCAACAACTCAAAATTGAGTCGAACATGCTCATTTCATCGGGAAGTATGGCTACTCAAAAGTGAGTAGGCGCACTTTTACTCACTTTTGAGTAAACGACGTTCCCGCGCAGAGTGAGTCAAAACCACTCTGTAATATTTTCAGCCGGGAAGATCGTTTTTTTTTATTTGTTTTGATAAAATATGGAAATTACCTGCTCCAGATTCATTAAACTGGAGCTGAAGACGACTGAAAACCGTCTCCGCATGCAATTTCTACTTACCTTAATACATTTTGGCCGATGTTTTACAATAATTTCACCGTTTCTTAGAGCCTTTTGCTCCGACACGGATGGAATCTTTATTCTAAGTCCCGGATTTGGCTGATTGAGTGACTATTACTCAGTTTGACATTTCTCGCTTACTCAAATTTTGACAACCTAATGCATCAGACGAAATTGAGTACGATCGACTCATCCGGTGAGTAAGCTAAAGTAAGCGTGTAGTTCTCAACTCCCATTCTTGGGTAACTTCAGTTTTGACTGATCTGGGTGGATTCTACCCAAATTCGGGTAGATTTAAAATAGCGTGTAATCAATGACAGACCGACAAGAAAAAGTTTCGATGTCATTTATATAAGGTCCGGGCCAACAGGCTCATTGGTTTTGTGAAATGTGCAAATGTTTAGTGGTGTTCGTATTTCATTGCAATTACTTTTTACCAAGGGGGGAAGGTGACTGTCAAATACGAACAATCATCGCCTACCTCGCATAACTGGTTCCAAACGACAACAAGCCATAAGCAACAATGGTTTGTTGATGTTTGGAACCAAATTCACATATGGAAAATCAATGAGCGTAAACAGATGAGGCCCAGTGAATTTGCCGTCTCTTTCGATCTTCAGCTGTTTGAATGGATGATGGAGTTGGACGTCACACTCGTATAACTTTTTAAAGAGCGGAAGAATAAAAGAGACGGCAAATTACTGGATCAACAATAGAAAAGGGCCCATCAGCATTTGTAAACAAACCGTTCTAAAGCCCTTTCCTTACAAAGCGAAGGCCACCCACGCAAACCAACACTATCATCGGATAGGGGAAAGTTTACCCTACACGATGATGGTGTTCGTTTGCGTGGGCGGCCTTCACACTTAATCTACCTCGGTAAAATCTCCAACAGCCGATTACCTCGGCATTTACTTTTGCTGATATCTCTACAAAATATGTGTTTGTTAGCTGAGATCTCAGCAAAATTTTATGTGTTAGCTGAGTCTCGGCAATTGTTTTACCATATCTCAGCAAAATAAATTGCAGAACTACTCGGCTGTTGGAATTTCGGCGAAAAAATTTAAGTGTGTTTGTTTTATGCGGATAGGGCTTTCGAACGTTTTGTTTACAAATGCTGATGGGCCCTTTTCTATTGTTGATCCAGAATTCACTGCGCCTTACCTATTTAAATTTCGTGGATCGAGGGACGCGCCCGTCCAGATATAAGTGCGTGATATTTAAAATACATCATAGTAATTTAAATACTTGATTACAGTAATAATTTGAATTTAAATACTTTAAGCTGTATTGAAAGTAATTAACAAATAATTAACGATAATTTATGTAATGACAAATAATTTAAATTTATTGAAAACAATTTAAATATTAAATTTTGTGAGTGTAGGCTGTGTAGTATTGAAAGAATAGTGCGTGCCCCTCGTCGTGGATGGATGATCAGTAGGCAGATTTCACAGCACATCCCGCCCCTACTTTTTACACGAAACAGCTGTTGGCAGTGACGTAATTCTCACTGTTCGCAGTATGGAATGTTATGGTAGAGTGACGTCGTCACTTGAGTGCTCAGCAATGTTTACAATATTTCTGCTGTCCAGACTGGAGAGTTATAACATGTTATAACGGTTGTCAAATAATTGCAACACAGAAACCACCATCAAGATAGCGATATAACATGTTATAATTCTGTAGTCTGAATGTACTACACACAAAAAACAAAAATTGTATCTTTAAAAATTTTAACATTTCAAATTAAAAGTTTCTCGAATTTGGTAGTTTCAACTATGAATATTTTCAAAATGAATTGTTTTTCTTTGGTTTGAAAGTTTTTCTTTCTTTATCGACATGTAATTTTAAAAGTTCATACTTTTAAAATAAAAATTGTACAACTGTCAAAATCACCTCTTGAAAAGCTCATTATCATGGTCCAAAAATCCAATAGGGCATATAGTATGAGACACTAGAATCAAACCGCAGAAAATCAATCGTGCATCGTGCAGTTCCGGGAACCGATTCCAGTAGCGGAGGCAATGAGAAAGAGTAAAGTTTTCGCAGAAGGTAAGATTGCAACTACTGTCTAGATATTTCGAGGGTGGTTTTGAAAACAAGATGATTATTTTCCAGATCGCCAGCATATTGGGACGTTAGAGCTCACTGCAAAGATGCTTTCGGTGGCTATCAATAGCGTTTACAATGTATCGCTGGAGGGATTACAGATTCCATTCTTTTCTATAGGACACTGGTAAGATTTGTCGCACCAGGTTTTGCTGCTTATCACCGGCCAGCTGTGAAAACAAGATGCACTTTCGTTCGAGCAAGTCCGCTGCATGTTGGAGCCCCGCGTCTGGGAGAAAACCTTCACTAAAGCCATTCACCAAAGACAACATCCCTCATATCAACATCCTGATGTGAATGAAAAATAGAAATATGAATATTTACAAAATACTAAATAAATAAATGTAAATATTGGTTATTTTTCTTTTACATAAAAGCAATTAAATTAAAAATAATTCGTATTTGAGGTGAAAACCTATATTTATTGCGGTGAAATAGCCTTCTTTTGAAGCAACACTTTTCCAACATCAATCTAAAAGTATTTGGTTTCTAGTTTGACAGTTCTACAATTTGATTTGAAAGTTTAAACTTTTAAAATTAATAATATGCTAAACTTTTGTTTTGACAGTTGGTTGACTTTCATTTTGAAAGTAAGCTACTTTCTACCAAAAAGAACCAATGCAAACTTTTAATTCTATCAACGGTTCTTTTAATTTTATCAATGATTATTTTTTGTGTGTATTATAGTACGTTCAGACTACAGAGTTATAACAACAATCAATACGAAACTAACGATTTTAAATTGGCTCACCACTTTAGTAGCCTATTGGTCCCAAGCAAACGATTAACGTACCCTATTCTAGTCGAAATTCTAGTACTACGTAATGTTTGTTTTGATTCGCTATGAAAGTTTGACAGATAAAATGAGGGGTTATTGGTTTTTCCTATGTTTCGAGGGGTGAATCGATTAGCTTGGGACCGAAGAGAGTACCAGAGCTGAGCCAAAAAGTTGAGCACGTTATTTCGGGACCTTCTAGTCTTAAACGCTGTCCAGACTGGAGAGTTATAACATGTTATAACGGTTGTCAAATAATTGCAACACAGAAACCACCATCAAGATAGCGCTATAACATGTTATAACTCTGTAGTCTGAACGTACTATTAGAGTTACCTCTATGGTTATAACATGTTATAGCACTATCTTGATGGTGGTTTCTGTGTTACAATTATTTGACAACCGTTATAACATGTTATAACTGCTCAGTCTGGCCAGCGTTTAACACCAGCAAGCTGACTGTTGGCTCGGACCTGATATAAACCATGGCGGGTATATAAATGGTGATACAGCTTTGTCATTATATAGGCGAGGAGCTCGCGGGGGGGAAAAGTGCGGTTTTAGAGCAAATTGTAAACAAACTCGGTCGCTGTCCCATACAAAAATCCAACATAGCTGAATCATGAATTTGACACATTAGAACACCTTTATGTAGCCACCTTGATATAAACGTCATTGAAAAAGTATGGCGACAAACTTCTACCATACTTTTTGCACTGGGTGCAGGGCCTCTATCTTTTTTACATTGGTTTAAAAGAAGTTTCGCATCTCGCATCGTCAACGTAAACAAAATACTATAATTTATTATTCCTTTTGATGGAACATAAACTTATAAAATTGAAGTTCCTAGCGTATTGAAATAACAGTGAAAGCAATAATTAATGTGAGGAGTTTTATTGAGCTAGTAATTATTATTCCCATTTAGTGAATAAATTCATCTGTTTGTGAACGCGATGGAAGAACAACGCGATACTCAAATTCACTAACACATTTAAATTCAGACAAAGTATCAAGTGTGTGTGTGTGTGCAGAAATCGCAAATATAAAAACAAGAACAACCCTCGGCCAACAAGAAGAAAAAAAGTCAAAAATTGAAGACCTTTGCAGAGTGTCACTCGATTCTGTAGTGCACAAAAAGTCGAAAACAGTTCGTTTTGTTTGTAAAAATTGCAAAAAAAGATTGACCGGGTTTTAATATTAATTACTGCACTACAATCCAACTTTGCTGCGTCATTTTATAGAAGTTGCCATTGTAAAGGGTGAACAAAGCAAGGTTCAACTGCAAAATCCCACTGCAATTGTAGTTTTTTTTTTTTTTTCTTTGGATTTGTCTTTTCAGACAGGCTAAGACCATGGCTGGTCCATCTCGCCGCAATTGTAGTTTCCCATTGGCTCTTCTAGAATAAAATCGTAGGAACAACTCCGTAGTGTGGTTCTTGGCGATAACAGTTGACGGTAGCAGCAGTGTAATAAGGCAGGCAAAATGGCGAATATGGCAGTATCCCGCATCAAACGAGAATTTAAGGAAGTTCTCAAAAGTGAAGAAGTAAGTATTTTTCATTGTTCTGCCAGCCTTTTCAAGAAACCCAAACTACGAAGAAGGAGATTTAAATTGCATAACTTATCATTAGGTAGATTTGGCTACCGCAGAAAGTTTGGGAGGCAGAAGAATGTCGGAGTTATCATTTAGCGGTGTGAATGTGGGGTTTATTAATATTTTGTTATTCGAAATCGAGCAAATAAGAAAAAAAAAACATCTTTGGAATTAAACAAGTAGGGTAGTAGGTAATGCAGGACATCAATTGAAAACATTATGGCACAGTAATGTGTGGAAAAGGGTGGCTATTCGTACCTTTTTCGAATTCCGTTCCAGAATCACTCATTGTGTCGTCAAAATTGTTCATCTTGCAGACAATCAATATCCCCTATCCGACTTGATGGGTGCCAAATATTGTAAGTTTAATTGTTATTGGGGATCACTTGAATTTAGCCATACACCAAAAACACTTCTAACCTCTCCACTGCAAACTACGGATGGATGATGCGATCAATATTTTGAAAAACCATTCGTTCGCATTAGATTGCTTGTTATGCTCTCCGTTGTTGCCATATGAACTTGATTACGATTATCTTGAACTCAATCGATTTTATTTTCCAGCGCAACTGTTGTGGGTACTACCTACTTGTTGTTGTAGTTTGTGATTAGTTCTGATCTTCTAGGTCCATCAGGTCAAATAACGAAAATATTGTTATTTACTTTGGAATAGCAAAAAAAATATATAGGTACCTACATATAAATTTGGAATAACGCTTTTCTCAATGGTTTCTAGCTAAAAAAATAAACAAAAAACAAGATTTACAAGGAGGAATATTGGCATTATACAGATGCAAATAGGGAAATTTTTGCTTCAAAAGAATCAAACGGTTCCAAATTAGATGCTGATCATCCTCTCAAAATTTGAACTATGCGTTGAAAACTGACGTTGTATAAATCATTTTAAAGTTATGTGAAATCTAACAACCTATACAATGGTACAAGCAAACATGAAAATCAACTAAGCTAATAAATGAAAACGTTGAATTACTGATTGTTTTACATGAAAACGAGCAAGTAATATTGAATGTCTTGTATCGTATACGGATAGAAATCTCCTTATACCTTTTGGCAAATTTCTATTGCTGATTATTCATAAAATGTATAAGTCAACCAATAAGCAGACGCCTTGCAAAAAATAAATAAAGCTCATGTGTCAAATGAAATGTATAAGCAGTCACACATACCTTTTATGCATTCTTATAGGACCTATGTGGTTTGTCTTATGGAATGTATAAGACTGATGTTTTGGCAAAAATGTATAAGTGATACACATGAATAAAATAATTGATTTTCGTTTCGTGTATGTGACTGTAACACAAATAATATACTAGATAATATACTTAAATAAAATATGAATTTTATTCCAAATTACTAGAAAATTATTGCTTTATTGGTGAAAAGTTTCTAATAAGCCCAGTTTCCCTGGTTACAGAACAAATCTGATACTATCAAGAGCAAATTTTCATTACGTCGAAAGTAACAAAGGTGAACAAAGTCGAGCTATCAGTGTCAATCGATGCTCCTGTTATTACGCTATATCAGTGCTAAGATTTGTCATGATCATTGACAGACTTTCGCGCGATATTGACAAAATTGTTCGTCACATAGTCACTTGGAGACTTGATCCTCAAAAAAACCTTCGTAAAATCTCATTCATATTTTCGTCAATATCACAGATTCACCTGGTAACAAAAAGTGTAATATCGTACATTCTGTGTCACATTTTTTTTTCCTTGATTTGTTTTCCGTCGATCTTGTTTTCCGTACTGAGCACCAATGCTACCGACGCCAGGGAGGCAGCTTCCACACCTGGACCCTACCTATGGACTCATCTCAACTCATGAACCGGGGACCAACGGCTTTACTCCTTCCGAAGGAAGGTGTGATCAGAGATGTTATGCCTCAGAACATCCCGGCGGCGCTGACTGGGATTGAACCCAGGACTGCTGGAGTGAGAGGTAATCACGCTTACCACTACACCACCAGCGCCGCTCTGTGTCACATTGATGTTATCCAAGCAGTTCAGGACGTAGATGCTTGTTCACATTAACGGCTCCATGTAGTTGTGTTGCTCAATCATTTAATTTCGTTAAAAATTTAGTTAATATAAAAATCCACACATGTTCATCACTGACAGCATTGTCATTGACAACTGACATGGTTTGCCTTGGCTGTGACTGTAGCTCAAATGAGTGATCAAAACAGAATTGTCAATATCACCGTGTATGGTCGAGATTTTGCAGCACTGCATTATATACTGTCCGAATATTTTTTTAAATTTATTTCAATTGCTTTTTGACGTAATCACCTTCCGATCAAAATATTTTTCGATGTTACTTAAGTCATCCGATTTCTATGGAGATGCCGTTTGTCTTAAGTAACAGCGCAGAGCAACCCGTAAAAAGTGTACGTTCGTCGTTTCGTTTTCTCATTATTAAAGTGAATAAATCGAACTGTTTGTCTTGCACCAAGTACCGCAGCGAGAAGCTCCATCCTAGGGATCGACATGTACTGTAGGGGAGCCACCTTGGACTTCGCCGATACCAGTGCGGCTCTTGATTTTGATCTGAACATCCTGGTAAACACACTTTGACTTAAGTAACATTAGGGGACCACCAAACGACGTGAAAGCTAGTGAGCTTCTTTGTATGATAAAAACCCTGCCTAACATCAGGACTGGTAGCAGGTCACTTTTTAGTGACTTTGTCACTATTTTGAAGTCCGTCACTAAAAAGTCACTTTTCACACAAAAATGTCACTAAAGTCACTATTTCCCTAAAAATAGTCACTAAAGTCACTTTGTCGCAACTAAAATAGGGTGATATGGAGAAATATCAACACCATTTTTTACTAAGGAAGTCTACAGTCTTTATGACAAAACATGCGTATCTGTTGAAAAATTAACAATTATAACCAGGATGATTAGTGGCGCCGGTGGTGTAGTGGTAAGCGTGATTACCTCTCACCCCAGCAGGCCTGGGTTCAATCCCAGTCGGCGCCGCCGGGATGTTCTGAGGCATAACATCTCTGATCACGCCTTCCTTCGGAAGGGAAGTAAAGCCGTTGGTCCCCGGTTCATGAGTTGATGGGTCGATAGGTAGGGTCCAGGTGTGGGAGCTGCCTCTCTTGCGTCGGTAGCATTGGTGCTCAGCACGGAAAACAAGATCGACGGAAAACAAATCAAATGAAAAAAAAACCAGGATGATCAGTGAACCGCAAAAATTCAAGGACCTTTCAAATACTGGGAAATACCTTCAATTTCGATAAAAAAAATCAGGGAAAATATACCTCCTATCTCCAAAAATAAATTCTAAACCTAGGAAACTTTTCAAGGGTATCGGTGCTAGATTTTCAGAAGTCTTTGAAAAATTATCAAGAACTTAAAACAAATCAAAGGACATTTTAAGACAATGTTAAATTAACTCCGGGAATGACATCAAGACATTTCAGAGAAGAATACCAGAGTACAGACTACGAAAGTCTCATGTTAAATTGAGTGCTGTGAGAGCCGATTTCTTCACCTCCGCTGAAATCTTAAACCAGGTTTATCCATATAGTTTAACTCCGTTTAAGGTAAGCGGATGTAAAAACCCAGCCCTGACACTGACACATAGGAGCGTTGCTTTGGATTATTGTTTAAAATATTAAAGATGCAAAATTCAGCTCCGAACCAATTCTGGAAATAATTCCAATATAATTGAGAGAATTCTATGATGATTGGATGAGGATTCTAGGTCCAATTCTAAGAAGAATTCTAATGGAATCGGCTTTTGAGGGTTCAATCTCAAAGGAATTCTTCGAAGAGCTTCAAGGGTATTCTGGGATGGATTTTTATTTTGAAAATTCTGGGGAAATACCATGGAAATTCTTAGGAGGATACGAATTGAATTTCCAAGATTATTCCTAAGCAGAAATTCATGTAACGCTCAACCAGTAACATAAAAAAAACTCTAGGCATCATGTATAACGTAATCAAAAGTAAATTATTCAAATCACTTCAAGTGCTCTTCATAGGAGATTCCGTTGAGAGTTTCGATATAATTAGAGGAATTGATGAAATGTAATTTTAAGTTTCATAACAGTTTATTCCAATATTAAACCTTATTTGAGTTTCTGAGTCATCATATAAATCTTACTATTGGTTACTTATTTGGTCACTTTTTATGTAATTTTAGTCACTAAAGTCACTATTATTATATCGCATCAGCACTACCAGCCCTGTGTCATGCATTGCTATCGCTATGAGACTATATGTCTTTAATTGGAAGGAATAACGAATGCGAATGTTCCTTTCAACATAATGAAAATTTGCTCTTGCTATGATCTCTCAGTCTGCATGCAGAAGCCGATTTCATCAAGGAAATTCTATCAACAACCAAGAATGCATCGTTTGAGCTTATCAATATCATCATAGTTTCAAATATTGAGAGACAAAACATAACTCATTACTTTAGTAACAGCGTTTACCTCCATGTCCGTAAAATTGATCATTGTGATGAATATTGAGCTTAATTGCAGTCTACAAAAACATGATTGGACAAAATCGTTTGGAAATGTCATGATTTTAAAAACAAATATTTTGCTTGGCTAATTGGCCAAGATCATTTTAAAAATTGCTTCCATTTTCATATGGAAATCACATCAAAATTTGGTTTAGATCTTCATTATCATTTCAAAAGGTCGAAATTGCCTTTGTAAACAATGGCTTTATCCGTCGATTTTTCACGAATAAAAGCTCACGTATGCAAAGTAACGATACCATCAGGTAGATGAATGTTTCCTTTACTATCTGGCATCGTTTATTTGCGGGAGTGAGCTGCTAGAAAACGATGGTTGAATTTTTTACTAGACAGGGTGTCGACTACCTAGAAAAACCTGCAAAGTCAGGGAATGTCAGGGAATTCTATTTATGGTCTGGAAAGTCAGGGAATGTCAGGAAATTTTAGTGTAGGTCAGGGAAAAAAATAATGTTGATCACATTGTAAAACATCATGTGTGGGACACATAAAAACAATCTTTGAAATTTTATCAGTGCATGACGACAAAGTTTTTGGGAAGATCCCGGGCATCAGATCTACTCACTGCGTTTATGGACGCCCTTGCCGGTATCTCTTCGAACAAGTTGCTGCAAGTGTCCATGGATGGGCCCTATGTGAATTGAAGTTAGAGGTACAAAAAGGTGGCGAGAAGCTGATAGATCTGGGAAGCTTTGGGCTGTATATTTTGCATAATTCATTCAAGGATAGTGTTCACAGTATCAGTTGGGATGTTGTCAAATATTTGCGTGGTATCTACAATATCTTCAAAGATGTACCAGCAAGACGAGCGTTTATCACGATGTATTCTGGATCTACCATATTCCCGCTAAAGTTTTGCGGTCACCGATGGTTGGAAAATAGTGCTGCTGTTAAGAGGGCAATCAAATTTACTCGGCAAATACGAAAATTTATTCATGGCGTCCAGAAAGACAAAATCGAACCAACGTCAGCTTCCTACCAACATGTTAAAAACGGTTAATATGGATAATATGGGTGTTAGGGTGGGTCAAGTTCATATGGCGGATCACAACTCCTCACACGCTATTTCAAAACTATCCAAATTTGGGTAGAATCCACCCAGATCGGTCAAAACTGAACCTAACCAGGCTAAATTTTCCCTATTGACTAACTAAAATAAATTAAATTGGAAGATTTATTCTACAGCTATTTGCCTCTATAAACGAAACCCTTGCGTCCTATTTGTTCAATGAGTTCAGTCTACAGCTTTAATTTCTCTCTATCTCCTTATTGAGTTTTGGACTAATTTTCTTCATCGACGTGATAATTAAATATTGTCTTCGTCCGTTTTAAGTGACACTTTTCTGCGACTAAATACTTCATTTCGAGGTTACTTCCCTATCTGAACTATATGTTGTTGAGCAAGTGCTTCAAGCACGACCGCAACGCGCCCTATCATGGTATATGGTATTCCCAAATGCCACAACAGAAACACACCACATCTGGAACCACAATCCAAAGCCCACAGCCATGAGTGATGAAGTTTGAAACATTCACCCTATTCACCCCATTCAACTGACGCTAAGCTGGACTCATAACTCACATCTACCTTACAGTTGGGGGAATATTGAGTTTTGCTGAGACATAGAATTGTCTCACCTCCTCCATGAAATTTTATATAATTAAAGTCAAAGTCCAACTCTAAAAGAATTTTCTATTTGCTTTGCTTTCATACAAACATATTTTCAGATTGTACAGTGTTCTATCAAACTAGATATAGTCAACGACAACTTCACAGAATTACGTGGTGAAATCGCCGGACCACCGGATACGCCTTATGAAGGAGGCAAATTTCTGCTCGAAATTAAGGTCCCGGAAACGTATCCTTTCAATCCACCGAAGGTAAGATCGATTTGAATGTTTTTCGCTTACATGTGATGTAGCCATTTTCTCCAACAGGTTAAATTTATCACAAAAATTTGGCATCCAAACATTTCCTCGGTGACCGGAGCCATCTGTTTGGATATTCTGAAAGACAACTGGGCCGCTGCCATGACTTTGCGCACAGTCTTGCTATCGTTGCAGGCTCTGCTAGCTGCTGCTGAACCGGATGATCCGCAGGACGCCATAGTAGCCACACAGTATAAGGACAACCATGAGATGTTCATCCTAACTGCTAAGCACTGGACTAACGTGTACGCCGGAGGGCCCTGTCGAAATTCGGACTTCGATCAGAAAGTGCAACGATTGCGTGACATGGGTGTGGTCGATTATGAAGCACGGGCTGCCCTCTCGCGACACAACTGGCACCTGGAACGTGCGTCCGAGCAGTTGTTTAGTTAGTTTTATCAAATTCGGTTCCCTACTACAGATACTTGTCTTTTGCGTCACTGATTTGTTTTCCGTTACATTCTTTTATGTCGAGACAAGGTTGAGAATTTTTGTGAGGTTATGAACATATTCAAAATATATTGCAAAGCAAAGGAGGAGTCAAATATTGTACCATCGCCACCCGTTTCGAAATGCATGCAAAAACCTATGATTAATATTTGATACCTAAATTAATTTCACAAAGAACGAAAAAAGACAAGCATATAATATTAACACTAAGGAGCTTGATGCAGAAGACGGAAGGTGATATATCTTTAAAATATAGAAAACCATTGATGATTTCGCTACTCGTTTTTGATTTCTTTTTGAATTGTCTATCCTTTGCTTTTCGTATTACACATTTTGGACTAGGCACCTATGCATAGCGGTCTGAAAACATTAACGTATGAGGTTTGTATTAACTCTTTTCTTCCGACATGTTAATTAACAATTACCATCTAATTCAACTGGAAAAAACCAGCATATATTCAATCGTCCATGTGTGCTCATCTTTGTTCTCCATGTGCATCATAATTGCTTTAATAGCGCATTTAATGCTTAGTTATTCAAACACTTTTCATCTACAGCAAAACCATTCTAGAATGAGTTTGATCAATTAAGACTACATAAAACAAATTTTGTTTCGATACTAAGCTGCCACTATTCGCATGTCCGTCCTATAGCTCAAATCAACAAGCCAATAGCATTTTAAATTTGATTCGTAGCATTGCTTCTTATGTGATAAGACAACCAATTAATTTGGCTGTCCTTCCGAATTTTTTCAGAACAAACTTGTTGAGGTTCAACCGACTCCACCTAAGATGCAGGAAAAATGTTGCTTTGCTGTTGTGAGATGCGCGCACGCTTAATAGATAGAAAAAAAAGATTGATGACGGGTTTAACTAATCATGTTTTTTTTGTCTTTATTATAAAGATTTTTAGCCATATGGCTAGTTCATCTCTTACAACTAATCATGTTTGTATTACTTCATGCGCGAAGTTACCGATTTACATAGTTCAAGATGCTTAACGTCAAATATCAGGCTTAAAGTAGTCATTTTATAGGATAGATGAGGAGATGAAAAATATAGAGTTGATAGTTCCGTTAGAGTACGGCAGTGTGAAAATTGTATATAGAGGGTAGAAAGCGAGCAAAGCTCAATTTTGAGGAAGGTACGAATCGGGTTGATCATCTCCTTAACGAAACTCCCCTGTTGGGGAGGGATGGTGAGTAAAGCCCTACAGTAAAAGTATGGACGTCTGTCAAAAGTTGTTCCAATCGAACCGTCAAAATGCACCGCTTTGCTCGAGATTGGAACAGCTTTTTTCAGTTTTGTGGTGACAGTCCTCCAAACTGTTACTGTAGGGCTTTAATGGTGAGGAGTATCGCCTATAGTAGCTATATTCATAGTCTGGAGGATAGAACCTCGGGAATTAATTGAGCTGTCAAATAGCGGAACCAATCGAGCAATTCATGACCAACAACAGAAGAGAGCACATCAGCTATTGCGAACAAAACTTCGGAAACCCTTTTTCTCATGACTCAAGGCTCGCCTACGCAAACTAACACCCCCCCCCCCCCCCCTATTCTGCGAGTCACGTGACTCTCTCTCACCGGTGAGGTGACAATAGTCACCTCGTGTGAGGTGACTCTCCATTTGATTTACATGGAGAGTCACCTCACACGAGGTGACAATTGTCACCTCACCGGTGACAGAGAGTCACGTGACTCGCAGAATAAGGGGGACCATCTTTGGGTTGGGGAAAGTTTACCCTATCCGATAATGCCGGTAATTTGCGTTCGATTGGCGAGGAAAGAATAGTCAACGTATTGTTTATAAAAGTTGATAGTCCCTTTTCAATTGTTGGTCTACAATAGATTGAAATGTTTGAATATAGCGACTATAGTATCGCCCCTCGCCACCACTGGCTATAGCCATAGTAGCTATAGCTATTGAGAAATCCAACTTAAACTCATGCGCGCCTGGTGGCAGGAATAAGCACTAACCGACGGTGATAAGTCTGTGACAGCCCTTGAAAATTTCATTGATTGTTTGCAAAATTATCTAATTTCAATGTAATTTCATGAAAATTTCTTGTCAGCATGGATGAATCTTGTACAAAATGCATAAAACTATTTTGTAATGCATTGTTCTTAAATAAAAAGCTACTTCAAGACTTATAAATTACTGAAAACATGTTAAGGTTTGAAATCATCTGCCGATTAAACAACAGACAAAGTTGGCCGACTAAATCAATCGACGAAAAACTATTAAATAGGTCGATTGCTCGGTGTAGCACCAGACGAAAAACGATTTAATCTGCTGATTAATACACCGACTGAAATTAATTTTTAAGTGGCAATAGATTTAGTCGGTGGACGAATCGGGTGATCTGGATGATGTTTGTTTATTTGGAAGATATTTTCGAAACAAAGCACGATAAAATTCAGAATTATATACCATTATTACGAGTACTACTTTTTTGCTCGGATCATGTTTTGACTTCCACAGAAACTCGCTAGAATAAATAGAAAATAATAGTTTTTTGGTTGAAATTTCAAAAATGTATTCAGTTTGACACATTATTTCGGACTTATCACCGCTGCGATTGCAGCGCCACGGTGGCCGATTGAAACTTGGATTTGTCATGAGAAATCCAACTTAAACTCATGCGCGCCTGGTGGCAGGAATAAGCACTAACCGACGGTGATAAGTCTGTGACAGCCCTTGAAAATTTCATTGATTGTTTGCAAAATTATCTAATTTCAATGTAATTTCATGAAAATTTCTTGTCAGCATGGATGAATCTTGTACAAAATGCATAAAACTATTTTGTAATGCATTGTTCTTAAATAAAAAGCTACTTCAAGACTTATAAATTACTGAAAACATGTTAAGGTTTGAAATCATCTGCCGATTAAACAACAGACAAAGTTGGCCGACTAAATCAATCGACGAAAAACTATTAAATAGGTCGATTGCTCGGTGTAGCACCAGACGAAAAACGATTTAATCTGCTGATTAATACACCGACTGAAATTAATTTTTAAGTGGCAATAGATTTAGTCGGTGGACGAATCGGGTGATCTGGATGATGTTTGTTTATTTGGAAGATATTTTCGAAACAAAGCACGATAAAATTCAGAATTATATACCATTATTACGAGTACTACTTTTTTGCTCGGATCATGTTTTGACTTCCACAGAAACTCGCTAGAATAAATAGAAAATAATAGTTTTTTGGTTGAAATTTCAAAAATGTATTCAGTTTGACACATTATTTCGGACTTATCACCGCTGCGATTGCAGCGCCACGGTGGCCGATTGAAACTTGGATTTGTCAATAGTATACTTCGCTTATCTGGCCGGTATTGAGAAATACAACTTAAACTCCTGCGCGCCTGGTGGCAGAAATAAGCACTAACCGACGGTGATAAGTCTGTGACAGCCCTTGACAATTTCATTGATTGTTTGCAAAATTGTTTAATTTCAATGTAATTTCATGCAAATTTCTTGTCAGCATGGATGAACCTTGTACAAAATGCATAAAATTATTTTGTAATGCATTGTTCCTAAATAAAAAGCTACTTCAAGACAGTTAAATTACAGAAAACATGTTAAGGTTTGAAATCATCTGCCGATTAAACAGCAGACAAAGTTGGCCAACTAAATCCATCGACGAAAAACTATTAAATAGGCCGATTGCTCGGTGTAGCACCAGACGAAAAACAATTTAATCTGCTGATTAATACACCGACTGAAATTATTTTTTAAGTGGCAATATATTTAGTCGGTGGACGAATCGGGTGATCTGGATGATGTTTGTTTATTTGGAAGATATTTTCGAAACAAAGCACGATAAAATTCAGAATTATATACCATTATTACGAGTACTACTTTTTTGCTCGGATCATGTTTTGACTCCCACAGAAACTCGCTAGAATAAATAAAAATAATAGTTTTTTGGTTGAAATTTCAAAAATGTATTCAGTTTGACACATTATTTCGGACTTATCACCGCTGCGATTGCAGCGCCACGGTGGCCGATTGAAACTTGGATTTGTCAATAGAATAGACTCCAATGTGGTCCTTACATGATTGTACACTGTACCGAAACATCCTCCTCTGTTGGAATGAAAGCTCAGACCATTCAAATCGAAACATCGAAATCGCTTTTTCGAATGATAGCTGCAACCGGATGACGATTGTGTTGTAATCAGATGATGCTCGGTGGAGTGAAAGGATAGTTCGAGTCCACCATGTTTCACGCACAGTCTGACGTTTGTGTATGGATTTTACCATACACTCAAAAAATGTATCACATATCTAATGGATGAAAACCATGTGAATGTCACATAGCTTTCATGTTATCACATAGCTAAAAATCTCAACACAAAATCACATGAATATTATGAGGCCGATTAAATTTATATGAATAATCATATAAAATTAACGTGATCGCATAAATGTTATGTGAAATTCAGATGAAAATCATTTGCGTTTCCAATGGAAGCTACATGAAAACTATTTTCGGTGTAGGAGTAAAGAACAACAGGGTCGCCGTCAATGCCAATACGTTTCAACGTTTCTACAATTCAAAACGATGATGAAAATAATTCTATCGAACGTCATTTGCTGATCTGAGCTGACAAACGAGTTGGACACATATTCATCGCTATCAGAGATGAATACATTCATTTCGTGCATTCATTTACCTTTACAGAATTCCGTTAAATGATGCAGGAAGTTTTTGTAGGTTTTATGATTAACTACACCTTTTCTGAATAATTTAAATTTGTATCTCTTTGTGCATGATGAACCAGAGCGAACAGAACCCACAATTGTTTTTCAGTGAATGTAAATTACATTCACTGAAAAACAATAACAAGTTCTGCCTACTCTAGTTCGTCATACATATATGTATAAGAGATTCAAATTTGAGTTATTCACTAAAGTTGTAGCTAATAATAAAAGCTACAAAAACTTATTACATTATTTTACGGAATTCTGTTGATGAAAAAAGATAGAGGCAAATGAATGCACGAAATGAAAGTAAATGATTTGCCATGCCTGGTAAAGCGTGGAAACCGAAGATTGGCTATTTCGTGGTGGAGGACCAACAAGTGATTTTTCACGGCTATTCAATATGGAAACGTAAATAATCGAATTATAAATCTAATCTAAAGCATTTGGAAGTCTCTGAGCTTTAACTTAGGTTTATAGTCCGATTGTTCCCATTTCCATACTGAACTTCCTCCACCACGAAATATACAACCTTTGGTTTCCACGCTTTACCCACACTGAACGAAAACATCCGGAATACTTCGAATGATTATTGCATTGCTCGAGCCCTTTAACAATATGCTTTCGAATTTCGGATGATTGCCTTATGGTAGGATTCGTCATCAGCTGATGAGCATCCATATGACTGTCATCCAAATAAAGGATGATATTTATTTGAAAATTGGCTGTAAAACATACAGTGAAAGGGAGTTGGGATTGACACACACACACTGAAGAAGTCTGCACATTGTAGACGAAATACGCGTAATCTATCAAGGATAACCATAGATGAATTAAATGGATATTACTAATCCTTCTCTCTTTCTTTATACTAGATAATATTTGTGTCGACCACATTGTGAACAAACCCCATATAGTGTGAACCACAGGCATGGAAAATCATTTACATTCATTTGGTGCATTCATTTACATTCATTTGCCTCTAAATTTTTTCATGAACAGATCTTCGTAAAATAATATATGAAACTGTTATTGGTTGTGATATTACCTACAACTTTTGTCAATAACTAAAATCTGTATATTTTATGCATGATGAACCAGAGCGAACAGAACCAAACCACTGTTTTTCAGTGAATGTAAATTACATTCACTGTAAAACAATAATTAATTAATTAATTTAGCTTTATTTAGGAGGCTTTCAGCCTTAGGCTGGTTCGCCTCCGAAGATGTAAAACAATAACAAGTTCCGCCCGCTCTAGTTTGTCATGCATAAGAAATACAGATTTGAGTAATTCACAAAAAATGTAGCTAATATCAAAACCTATAAAAACTTTATTGATCATTTTATAAAATTCTGGTAATGAAAAAAGTTAGAGGCAGATGAATGTAAATGAATGCACGAAATGAATGTAAATGATTTTCCATGCCTGGTGGACCATGATTAAAACTTATGAAATCTACGCGAAGCTCTATGCAGCACCATTATGGATTTATAGTTTGGCCAAGGATGACTAGAATGTTTTCTCTTGTGATCTTTCACGTAAATCGATGAACAGTCATCATTTGACTCCACTCGGTTTAGCCTTAAGACCGGCCAAATTCTTTTGCTTCATAGACTCTCGCCAGTCAGCCTCCAGTTTGATATAAGCTCCGCCCTGCTGATACGTCACAAACTGCTGATTCTGTTCGCCTCCCGTTTTCTTTCCAACCATTGCTATGATCTGCTTCATAGCCCGTTCCTCAAACTCACGCTGGTTGTCTTGATTACTACGAGCCGACATGTCGCCAGCCCAATGGCGTCCGTAGGAGATTCTAGGCTTATGCTTAACATTCTTCGGGCGAAATGAACGTGGACTACTATATTCGGATTCACCACCATCGCTACTGCTGGTGGAGGTATGACTTAGAATTGTTCCAGACTTGTCGGCATCCTCCGAGTCTGATTCGGTTTCCGATTCCGCTACCGATTGCGATAGTTGACGAGTTATAAACTTTCGATTCCCACGACTGGGAGCATCGCCATCAACGTGAAAATTTGGCAGCAAACCTTGCCGGGAGCGGTGAGGTAAAATTCCTATTCCATTCCACCAAGGGTCGTTTATTGAATTGGGTGGTTTGAATGGAGCCGTCTCGTACAGACACCCTCCTTCCGATGCTTGCATAGCCAACTGAAGAATCGCTCTATCGCGATCTGTATCTGCTTGGACTGTGTGTTCTCGAAACTGGCAACCCTGAGATAAAAAAAATAAAAATTAACTAATGAGAAATAACTACGACATATTCAAATAGCATTCACCGTCGGTCCAGGGAGTGTTTCGTAACGGTAGGCTTGCTTCCCACAACAAGGATAGCGGCCAGCTGGTCCAGCAACCCTTCCTTCAGCTGCAGGCCCCAGGAATTGTGGCTGCTCTGGATGATATTGACACCATAGCATCTGGTACACTGCAAAATGAGTATCACATATGGCACAATACAAAAAGTGGCAATGTCCCCAAAGACGCCAGTAGACTTTGCGCCACGAACGCAACTCTTTATGCAAACTGGCTACGTAGCTAGTGATATTCCATGAGGGATCTTTTACGTGTGAACTAATCAATTGACCCCAGCGATTCAGGCGTATGTTTTGAGGAACACAGTGAATAAACGTGCTAACCGTTTGCGTTAGGAACTTTCCGCACCTGAGGCAGCGAAACATACCCACAAGAGTAGCATAATGGCCTCGCAAAGCTTGAGGTTCAATTTCACATAGACTTTGGATGAGTTTTGTCCACAATCGAGGTGCAATGCGATCTTTTTTATCTTTTACCATTTCTAGTTCTAAGTTGGTGAACATAGCAGCTAATCGTGTAATAATGCTATCGTTCAAGCAAGCTAAATTTGCCGAAGCTTTTACAACCTCGTTCAATCTAGCATGACAAAAGGATAGGCAATCCAGCAACAGCGGTTCCATTTGGAGAAAACTGGCAGAAACAAGTATGGGAACCACATTCGATGGATCAAGTGCAGGCCAATCGTCTTGGGACATGGAATCTTTTTTCACCCATTTCATCAGCCATTCAAATATTTGCAAATCACAATGAACCGATATGTCCATGTCTTCCAATCGTTGACCGGCAGTTACATCTGCAAAATATCCCATTTTAGTTATCAGTAACTTTTGAGGGCACGAAAAATCTCTGGATGTTCCTTTGACTTCATCGCACACATGGATGATGACTTCTGGTCTACAAATAGAATCAACATTAGTATTACAAAATATTATGAACAACTACAATAAGTTACTTACTCCGAACGACTGTCCGGTATGGCCATTTGAGAAATCGAAGATTTTCTTCTTGCTCCCATTTTGCTTGTGCTACTTGCAATCAAAAAATTCTGCGATACGTCACCTACCGCTGCAAGTCCACCCTTTTTGCCACTACTGCTACTTTGCATATCTGGCGCAGATGCCTCACCCGCACTGGCAGCTCCCTTGGTCCCACTATTATTAGAGGTAATCTGCACCACTGGATGCGTGGGTGCCTTAGGATTAGTTCCCTTATTATATGTATGTCCTCCAGTCGAAGTAGAAACGTTGTTCGGACAAATGAATGGAAGCACAGAATCCAAAATTCCTTCATTTAGAACCTCGTCCAATTTTTCATTCAATAGAGTATCCAAACCCTTCTTCGGTACATCCACAGCTTCAGGTTTACTCTTTTGAGACTTGGCATGTGAAAGAGATTTCTTTTTAAATGACTTCTTTTGTACGGTACCGTCCTCTTTCTTCATGCTCTGCTGCCGTGCTGGAGAAGACCCTGAACAAGTACCATTTTCAATTGCCAAGCCAGGCCTTACATGAACACTATTGACTAACTCATTTCTGGCTAACTGGTTATAATCAAATGGAAGAGGATTCTTCTTGCTGCTGTTGAAAGAATCGTTAACTTGACAAGTAATTTTAAGAAATTCTAGAAAATCATGCATCGAAATCGACTCGCCGCGATCTTGCTCCGGATGATCCGCCATGGTCCACTTCGAATACTAGGAGTAGAAAAACACTTGAAATTTGTTAGCTTCGCTAAACACTGGCTTAACTATCTCCGAAAGTTTTGCAAATATTTTACTGGGTCATCAAATTAAACAACGGTTAGTGGTAGCCCGTGGCAACAGAATCTACTTCCGGTGTGGCGCGTATCAGAATTTGAAAATGTAAACAAACACCCCCACTGGGGTTTGATCTTTCAAGCGAGAGCTACAATGCTGCGTTAACGTCAGCGTCAAATTTGAATCGGATCAAAATTGATCATAATTCGACAGTGAGCATGCATAAGGGCGTATACGCGATGATCGATTCTCTTCATCGTTTTTCTCTTTGCATTGCTACAGCTAAGCGAAACAATTTTGTAGAATTTGTTCAATCTAGAGTTGTAATAGGTTGTATTGGTTTTCAAAAGCAACAACAAACGCACCGACAAACGTTAAATCTAGCGAGTTATTAAGAAAAGAGAAAATCGATGAAGAGAATCGATCATCGCGTATACGCCCTTATGAATGCTCACTGTCGAATTATTAGGTTTTGCACCGTCGGGGTTAACCTCAATCTGATGATAGTTCAGTGGTACGGTGGTACCATAGAGGTAACTCTAAGACTAGAAGGTCCCGAAATAATTTGCTCAACTATTTGGCTCAGCTCTAGTACGCTCTTCGGTCCCAAGCTAATCGATTCACCCCTCGAAACATAGGAAAAACTTATAACCCCTCATTTTATCTGTCAAACTTTCATAGTGAATCAAAACAAACATTGCGTAGTATTAGAATTTCGACTAGAATGGGATACGTTAATCGTTTGCTTGGGACAAATAGGCTAGTCAAATAGTGAGCCAATTTAAAATCGTTAGTTTCGTATTGATCAGCGCGTTGAAAGGATGTTGCTCGTAGACATTGCAGAAGTGTGGTTTACATCTCACTGCAGTCTGAAAAATTATCGAGAAAATCCACCCAACAAAAAGTTGACTAAGCCTAAGTAAACAGTACCACTGAACTGTCATCAGATTGAGGTAAACCCCGACGGTGCAAAACCTAATTGGGTTCTTTAAGGGTATTGAGGTAACTGCATATTCGTAATCTGCATTAAAAATGGAACCCAAACCCAAAATTTCGTCAATTTTGGTACACTGGAACTATTTAAATAAGTACGATTACATTTGCAAAAATCACCTTATTTGCGTCCCTCGGTGTCACTTTGTATGGGAGCGAGCTGTCAGTTTGTTAGTTTAGTGTCAAACAGTGAAGTTATTATTTTGCTTTACATCTTGATTTAAAAATCGAGATGAAAGTGTGTGGGTTCGAAAAAAATATCGCTGTGCTCCGAAAACGAAGCTCTTTCAGATGATGTATAAAAAACGAAACATTTTTCAAAATTAAAGAACCCAATTTACATGCACTTAGGCTGTGAACCATTTGCCGAGTTTAATTTAACTCGTGGTTAAAAGCGAGGGGGACGACTCTATCTACGATGCAAAAATGATTGTGTTTTGCTGTGACTAGCTGCGCGCACGCTGAGTAGATAGAAAGAAGATTGATGACGATTCTGAAGATTTCCTGCAAAAAATTGATGAGCGATGCAAGTAGATGCGACAAATGAAAGAAGATTGTTTGAAGATTTATTCGCTACACAGCAAAAAAAAATGTAATATCGATCAACGTAATTCAAGCTGATGTATGAAATAATGATGTAATAGCAAAGAGCAGATGCAATATTACATCAATGGATGTAATTTTGTTCGCAAAATCGATGTACATCGTACAATGTGATATTACACAACCGATGGATTGACCTGGTTGCAGCAGTTTCGATGTAATATTCAACAACTTTTTTTGCTGTGTAGTGTGAGATTTGTTGAGCATCTAAACTTGAGATTTAGATGTGTCGCCCCCCTCGGTTAAAAGTGACATTTCGAAAGTTATTTTCTATGTTCCAAAATCCCCGTGCTGTCACGACCGGTTTTCGAGCCACGGTTGTCAAAATTTAACTTCTTGTCTGTCAGAAATAACCATGCTCGGATATCAGGGTTCATCGATAACTTTTCATCTGTCAAATTTTTACCAAAAGTTAAAAAAAAATCGTTAAATAATTCAGAGCCTTAGTCGTTTTCTCAAAAAAAATATTCTAAAATTTGCGAATTTTAACTTGCAAATTGTCGAGGAACAGCGTGGTGAAAGGATGTTCCTCGTCGACAATGCAGACATGTGGTTTATATCTCACTGCAGTCTAAACAATTATCGAGAAAATCTAACCAAAAAAAAAAATCAACTAAGTCCACGTAAACAGTACCACCAACATTCATCGACAACTTTTAAGTTAAAATTCGAAAATTTTAGAATATTTTTTTTTTTCGAAAAAACGACTAAGGCTGTGAACCATTTGCCGAGTTAAATTTAACTCGTGGTTAAAAGTGACATTTCGAAAGTTATTTTCTATGTTCGAAAATCCCCGTGCTGTCGATCGGCCGGTTTTCGAGCCACGGTTGTCAAAATTTAACTTCTTGTCTGTCAGAAATAACCATGCTCGGATAGCAGGGTTAATCGATAACTTTTCATCTGTCAAATTTTAACTAAAAGTTAAAATAATCCACCAAATGGTTCAGAGCCTAAGTGCTTGTAAACGGTACCACTGAACTGTCAAAAAGGTTCAGCCGATTAACACTGAGTTCATTCGTGACGTCACGCTGCAGTACCTGCAGTATCTAGTACACAGAAAAAAAGTTGTTGAATATTACATCCAAACTGCTGCAACCAGGTCAATCCATCGGTTGTGTAATATAACGTTATACCACAAACGAAGTGACAGACGGAGCGGCTCGAAAACTTCAGTGACTAACCTGCTATTTCAATTTTTCAGTGTACCACATGGCAACACCACTACTACTGGATTGTACCACATGGCAACACTACTACTAGATTGAACTAGCATTTTCACCAAATGTACTAGAATGTTTTGGTTCTATCTCTTTCACTCTACTCAAAACTGAAATGCATAAAAAAATGACAAAATGATACGCACTCTTTGCACACTGTCAAAGAATCATTGTACACAAAATCAACTTTGTTCAAATCAAAACAAAAAAACTAACCCATCTGGTGGATGATGACACAAGCTTCCAAGAAAATTCTATTACAGTGAACCACATTATTTTAATGTCACTTCGTTTGTGGTTGTACTATGTACATCGATTTTGCGAACAAAATTACATCCATTTATGTAATATTGTATCTGCTTTTTGCTATGACATTATTTCATACATCAGCTTGAAGTACATTGATCGATATCACATTTTTTTTTGCTGTGTACCTAATAACACAGAGAACAGACGTTGAAGCTCGGTCAGAAATTTGTGTAAAATAAGTGGGAACGTCGCCGTTACGTGGTGTTAGCATCTCCTGATTTTCTCTCTAAATTTTCCACTTTCGACCAACTTGGCGCTAGTATCGATAAATTTTCTGTTGAAAATTACCACTTGGTGCTACTAGCACTTAGTGTCTAGTGTAATTTGTGCAACGCCAGCGCCATCATGTTGTCAAAGAGGGGTTTTAAGTGGGGAAGTCGCCGTTAATGGCGCTTAAGTCAAATAGGAATCCTTACACAAGTTTTTAGAGAAATTTTGTTCCAGCCTCCATGTCTGTTCTCTGTGCTAATAACGAATCAAGAGAGGAAGCGTATATTGATAGAAATAATAGTAAAATTTAATTAAATTGCTTTCTGCAAAAAAAAAAACTATTGGTGAAAGTATTCAATTTGAACCAGCAATACACGGTCACCAGCGTTAACACATTAATGAGTAAAAAAAAACACATTTTTTATGTTTATATGCAGCTGTCAAAAACCGTGTATATTAGGAGATCTCAAAATTTGAAAAAAGTACTCATTTTAAGAATGTAGTACCAGTAAAACAAATGTATACTCAGTAATGGGTAAAAATAACTCGAGAAAAAATTTCAAACCTTGCTGCATCCTGCTTCGTTGATGCGCACATCATTTGCCTAAGCCAAAAAAATTCAGCAATTATAGCAGAAAAATTGAGGAACTACTGTCCAAACTGCACAGAGCAACGATGAACAAGCTAGAGGGTAAGTAATTTATATTTATTTCATTCTTTATTTTATCATTGACACAAATAAGAAAACTCCGATATGTATGTATGTATGTATGTATGTAAGTAGCCACCATCCTAGCTTGGGTCTTGCCCTGCATGCGGCTCCACTCAACAGCAAGATCAAATTCCGTCATCATTCTGAATTCAACATACTGCTGTATGAAGGGCCAAAAAGGGTTGGACGGGCCCGTAAGCAGAGACACTTACGCGAAACCCGCGGGAATAAGAGAATCTCCTTCCAACAATATGATCCAACAAAATGAATAACGAAATTCGCAATACATGTTAAGCTTTCCACGGGATGGTTTGTTTAAGAAGAGCGCGTCAAATTCATTGCAACTGTTGGAGTGAAATGTAACTATCTAAAATGACAATACACATTCCCTCCTAGACTTCGGTTGGCACTCCACTCCATTGTCCAGTTACAACTTCAATGATGCCCTGATGCTCCCTCCCGTCCCAGTATTTATTGTAATTTACATTATGAATTTATATATAATCATGTAATATATAATGTATATAAAATATGTAGTAAAATGAAAAATATAATAAAAAATAAAGATGTATAACAAAATCCAAATAACCTAGATTATTGGGTCATATACACACACTTTTTGTTTTATGTGCCATGAAATGACATAATGCATCATTGTATGTTTTGAAAATATAATACTAAAGTATTGAATCAATAGACCGAAAATCGAGGTTATTTGGACATGAGACATTATATTTAAAAGGATACTACCAAACCGACCATCAAACGCACTGCCCACAAAAGCAGACACGTCCCCTCGAAAATGCAATCGAGAAATGTACAAGAACAATCCTCAACTGGAACGTACTCACCAAATCAATATATCCGGGAGCGCATTCCCGATGTCGTCGAACGGAAAAAAAAGGGAACTCATTGAGCAAATTAGTGATACGGAATTTTCACTGAAAACAACCACGAATTTCAAATAAGAAAACTCCGATATTAATAAAAAAAAAACCAAGCTACCCCATCATAGGGGAAATGGATGTAATGTTGGCCTAAATGACCCTAATTTGCCCTAAAAAATACCCATTGGAACCGTCCCATGACGCGTTCATCTAGATAAAACTGATAAATAGCAGCTTTTTAGCGATGGGCCCAATATTAGATCCATAGGCCAACATTATACCCCGTTCTCATTACACTCAATATCACGTGATATAGAGCGATTCGTGATATACCAGCTATATCACGTTCTATATTACGTGATATCCCATACAAACGATCTGTCAACCTATATCACGAATAGTTCATGATATAGCTCATATCATGTTATGTACTTGATAAAAATCTGAAAAGCAGTGGCTGGCAACCAGGCTATGATAGAGCTGGTCGGTATTTTTTGGCATCAAATGTCATTTTCTTGTCATCCCGTCGAATTGATACACAAAACAAAACAAAATACAAAATGCAAGACGTGTCCTCCTTTTTCTCGCAGAATTATTGTTATCATTCTCCGTCAAGGGTCATACTTCCAGGGTGAGCAATTCCGAGCCCTTCCTTTCTGGATTGCAAGTCTACCGATTTAGAAAATGCTACTAGAATCAGAAAGAGCATTCGCTATGTTGTAGGTAAATTTCAAAACTAAAATTAGTGTAGCGATAATTATCACCTCATCAACTTTTACTTTCAGTGTCCATGTGCAACTAATAACGAATTCGTTTATTATTCAGTTCCAACCTGGATCAGGTATCAAGATTGGGTCTGCTTGTTTTCTGACAAACGTCAGTTTGATCGTTTGTTTTTAAAACCCAGCTCAGGTTGAGGTTCGCACTGACAAAAAGTTCGGTTTCGCACTGGGTTGGAACTGGTTCCAACCCGGATAATAAACAAATTCGCTATAAGGAACGAAGCTGAAGCTCTTCATCCTCTAGAACGCTACTACCTGGCAGCGGAATCATTGAATTTAATTCCTCTTCCCCCTGAACATCACTTATTCGAGCTGCAGATCGGCGTGATTAAGGTGATCATTGCCGACATAGACGATTAGAAGGAGGGAGTCTAACCGAAGATGAGTCTGCTGATGAAATTGCCTCGATTCCGGACCAGGAGTTTGCTGAAGAACTGGTGGCGTCCGATTAGTATCCTGATGAGCAGATAGAAGCAAATGTTGCGGGTACACTTAGACGATGTACATAAACGGGACGAGACAGATCGAGAGTACATTATAGTAGGAGCGATTTTGTTTTATTTGTCTAATGATTATTATGATTTACTGCATGCCAAAAAAATATGTTTGTGTTTGTCACTTTTGCAATTCAAATGAACAAAACATGAGAAAATTGAGCCGTAGATATTTAATTCATTTATTACATCAATCAAATCATAGTTCCCTTCCTGATGACCGTGTTCTGACTGAAAACAAATGCAGATAACCACCCATATTCTTCTTTCGTTCGAACCACACAAACAAATGTTTGTTTTGTATGGTTCAGACGAAAACAAGAATGTGGGTTAATAGTGAACTGCGTATAAAAATCATCATCTTGACATGCAAATTGATCACATCGAATAGGGATACATATATGGGTCTCCCTTAGCTCAGTCGCTAAAGGCGTAGCTATAAAGTAGACTGCAGTCTCTATCGGATAAGCCACCTGACTGAGTTGCAGATCGTAGTGCAGCAGAATATAATCACCATGTTGATCAAAGATTTTCATTACATTTAAGCCGTTCATTCCATGTGGTGATTGTGTGTTCTCGGATGAAAATCTTGGATAATCTGGGTAAGTTAGAAGGAGGAGTCCCAGACAGTTTATTGGATAAGATCGTACTGAGAGGGATCATCTGGAGTAATCTCGCTACTTTCTACGTATGGTTAATAGGCCGTCAGCACGCTACCTTACTCTTGTGCACATTTGGGTCACGGTTTGTATGGAAGCATGATTGTGTTTCATGTATGAGACCGTAGTAAAAATGTGTGTAAAAATATCTTTCAACAGGCCACCGGTACTTTTTCAGGAGAAATGCTACAACTCAGCCAATACTATTCCGTGGAGAAGTTTGACTTTAAAAGAATATTGTTTGTAATTTTTCACCTGATTCATGAGATATCAGAGGTCAAAATTTAGAAAATTCGGTCTGGGGTACTCTAATACATGGCCTTCAGAAAATTCCCTTAGATCCAATAAAGGATCTTAGCGAGCTGGTTGTAGGCATACAAAGTATCTAGAAAAAAAAACCACATCATTAGATCAAAGGGTAGACATTTTATATATTTGAGTGAGGTTGGCCTCTGAAAGACTCGATTTGAAATAAATGTCTTAAGTGGCGTTCCATAACTTAAAATTAGGTTCAAATTTACAGGTTAACAACATACAGACGTTTGTATTCCCTTATAAACGGGTACCATACACAAACGATATCATAGATGGTGCGACCATATCGCATAGAGTTGGGATGATATCTCGAATTGGTGAACTGAATTTGATGATAATTAGTATTCGATTCAATTAAATAATAATATTAATTCATTCAGAAACATTTTTCCGTTGAATCGGTTGTATTACAGAACAAGAATAATAATAAATTCTTCACAGTCCCACGCACATCCTTTTAATATTTATTACGAGCACATAAATGGTAAATATTATAGTTAAATAATACGTAAAAATCGCATCTATTACATTTATGTTTTGATACAAATGATTCTGAGGCATTATTGTTTTTGTTTATGATCTGGCATAAACGTCATGCTGTATCACGCCAGCGTAGTGTGAACACCTCCACTTGATATCTATATCATCTCGCCATCGAGCGTAATACCCCGTTCACATTACAGTGTATATCACGTGATATACGCTGTCTTGCAATGAGCACTTATACATCTAGTTTTCACTGGAAATCCTATGTATGGGTGCTCATTGCAAGACAGCCTATATTACGTGATATAGGCTATAATGTGAACGGGATATAATGAGAACGGAGTATTAGAGCCATTTCCCCTATTTAAATTCTATATAAATTAGTTTTTTCCCCTCTTTAATTTGTTTTTTCATTAATGTATTTACGCTGATTACCGCCCTAATAAAAATAACCATAAAAAAGAGCTTAACGACGTGTGAAAAGATACCCCTTCAAACCATTTGTGGGATAGTTTACCCATCCGGGATACAGTTCGTTTATGGTATTTGCTCGGGTATATGTTTACCAGGGCGTGTATCGAGGCGTGTATAGTATTTTTTTCCAATGGATTTTGTTTCAGTGTAGCTGAGATCGCTCACACTTCAGCCACGGATACACTTATTTATAAAACGGAGTCCATTCATGAAATTATGAACCATTGGGGCTTGACAGTGTCATTTCTGCATTTTCAGTTGGCTGCTCTGCTAAATGACAGCTGTCAGAATTTAGCATCGGAAGGACGTGACGTCATTGATTTCTTTTCCTCACGTTTTCGTAGTGAACGACAGCAGCGAAACTTGAATCAAAATGGTAAATAATTGAAATTTTTAGTGTTTCCCGCAGTTAAGATTGAAAAATGTTAGCGATATTATAAGGAAAGGCGGTGTTACGAAAGATCCTCAAAAAATTTCATCGCAAAAGTCTCAAAAATCCTGCTAATTGAGATGGTGCAAGATTTGTTTGTAGAGGGGCTTTGGTTCTGGCGGTTCTCCGCCGGGACAAGTTCAAATTGAACAGGTTATGTGGAAAATGTCGGTACACTGCCGGACCATCACCAATATTTTCGCTTCCAATTGCGGAATATTTCGAATCAGAAATGTTACTAATTTGTGTTTTTTTTTTTTTTTTTTGTATAGGGTCGCGTTCGTACCAAGACCGTCAAGAAGGCCTCTAAGGTCATTATTGAGAAGTACTACACCCGCCTGACGATGGACTTCCACACAAACAAGCGTATCGTTGAAGAGGTGGCCATCATTCCAACCAAGCCGCTGCGTAACAAGATCGCTGGGTAAGTAACTCATTACTAGTTTAGGTTGTGATGTCTTACAAAAATCTTCGAATTGCAGTTTCGTGACACATCTGATGAAGCGTCTGCGCCACTCTCAAGTTCGTGGTATCTCGATTAAGCTGCAGGAAGAGGAGCGTGAGCGCAGAGATAACTACGTGCCGGAAGTGTCCGCCCTGGAACAGGACATCATTGAGGTTGACCCAGAGACCAAGGAGATGTTGAAGCACCTGGACTTCAACAACATCGTTGTCCAAGTCACCAATCCATCGGCACAAGGCTACAGCCGTCGTAACTAAGCCTGCGAAATTTTGTTTGATCAATCTGTGGTGGAACGGGATGTTGTTCTAGAATTTCCCAATCCAAAAATAACACCCTGGATGGAAAATAATACCGCTATAGGAAGAGTGTCGTATTGTAAGCAAAAGAATATGGTCCTTCAGAAGTTAAGGAAAGATACACGATAACAAGGTATTCGAATTGTATTTTTTTCAAATTTATTTAGAACGTGATGACAACTTCTTGCTGAGCAGTGCAGTGTTCCTTAAGATTTTAAGTTGGAAATGCGAGTAACAGGGTGACAAGTGAACCAGGAAACCGGAAAAAGTCGGGAATGTGAAAAATTTGCCAGGAAAATAATCTTCACGGTCACTGAGAATAACTCAGAGAAAGAGAGAGTAGCGTCTACTTAGTTGTATGAGAAATTTCTAAAAATTGTAGGTACTCGAGCTGTGTTCCATTTGGTTAATTTGCACTTAAATTTGACCCTTCTAAAATAAGCTAAAATGTTGGAAAATCCCTCTGCCGTTGATCCGTCGATTTTCGAAAAGGTGTTTGTCAAATTGATTCATTGTCTGTCAGAAATAAGTCTGGTGGAATAGCAGGGTTATTTGAAAATTTCCATCTGTCGAGTCCATCAACGTGAGTTGCTGCAGTTTTTTAGAAATTTCTGATACCTCTGAGTAGAAGTGGTTCTCTCTCTGAGTAATTCTTAGTTGCCGTGTTGATTTTTTTTTAATTTAAATAGCTTCTGAATGTAGATGATAATAGCACAAGTTTTAGCAAAACGGATGTTGTCGTTTTTTTTCAATCTGCTCTAAACTAATAATTTCGTTCAAGCTAAAACTTCACAAAACTAAAAACGTGCTGCAAGATGAGCAACATGTACCTAAAAAGTTTAGTAAACGTATTGTGTATTTTCGAGTCAATTGGATGGCGATGATAGCTACGTGCTGCTTTGAACTCAGAATCGAGCAAAAATTGTAAGCTGGGCATACCGTATCTAATTGCTGAGCTGTTTTTAAGTACATTTATTTGTACAGTTAAGCGGTCGCTTAGTAGAGCGAGTCAATTTTTTGCTTTACATTATTTTAGCTATGTTTTAGTAGATAACATTAGTCCAAATGGGGAGAATCTAAGCCAAGAACGATTTCTCGCTGATTAATCATTTATCATTCACGGTTTATATACTTGCCGGTTCAGCACTGCTGCCAGCTAAGGCAACCAGCACAGTTTTAGTACACTAGTCGCTTATGTGAATGAATTTACCCATATTTATTAACTTAAATGCCCTTAGTGGTCCGTAAATTCCCTCATTATGACTCCAATTTACATGCATAGACCAATACTAGAATATTTTGGAGAATATTAGGTTTTAAGAAGTGCCCTCAAGGTAAAAATAACATACTGTTGTATTTTGAACAACGCGCGAGTGCTCGTGTTTCAAAAGTTGGTGCGTTAGCGTTAGCGTTGTTATGATATACTTCGTAGATTGGATACTAGCGACACTCACTTCTTTTGAAATTCTCAGTTAGACTACTTTCAGGAATAATGCTGGGGAGTAAACATTGGTTCCAATCTAAACAAGAGTAACAGAAGCATGACTGTCGCTATTCCCGGCCACGCCCATCTTTACCATAACTAGGGATAGGGAAGGAAATGTTGATGTAGTACTTACTTAACGAGAGGCCACCGACTTAGCGACACACTCATAAGTGCTACGGAGTTGGAGGGTTGGGTAGGGTATTCGGTTAGGATTCACCTCAAGTTGGCGATGCAACCAAAAGTATGTATTTTTTATTTGTTGTTTATTTAATCTCTCGATAGCCGGCTATCGAAAGAACATATTCATTTTGTTTAGTGATCATGAATTTTAAGAGTCATGACGGAGAGCTTGGGATTAAACCCATTTTCTGATCAGTAAGCAAAAACGATCCCTCCAGGGTCATCGAGCATCTCAGAACCATAACGCTTCGCGACAATACAGGACTACGTTTTCGCTTGATATGCAAATAGTTTCCGAGGTTAATGTTCAATATCAAATATACAAATGATGGTGGCAATTTATTGTGCTGTGGAAGAGCTTGGGGTTAAATCCATGATTTTCTGCTCAGTAAGCAAAATAGATCCCTCCAGGGTCATCGAGCATATCATAATCCACAGACGCTATAATGATACTCTGCACATGTTAGACACAAGAAGAGGCCAAAAAGCAAGCGTCCGACACACAAAACTCGCCAAATCCACTTGCAGTCACAATCAACGATTCTACGAATCGCGAGCGCTCACGAATCATAAAACCGCTGACTGCGACACTCTGAAAGCGAAATTGACAGGCTCTATGCGTCAAAAACCCGCCCTCCAATCTCCTCCCGCATCCAGCAACACAAATCTCCATTACAACATGTAACAAATTCATAACTCCGAAAATCACTCAAGTGAGCGGAAGCAACCCTGCATGCAACCATTCTTCATGATGCACTTCTTCTGCCTATCTTTCTATTAGGCCTGTGGACATGTGTTAGCTTCGAAACTTCTAACCAAACTGGGAAAATTTTCAGATCACAAAAAAAACTTGAAAAAAACTTTCAAAAGTAATTACAAGTAAAATAAATATTGAATATTTTACGGAAAAACGAGCAAGTAATATTAAATCTTTTGTATCGTATGCTAATGCCAATTGACTGTAACAAAAATAATATGCTTAAATAAAATAAAATATTAATAAAATTATATGCAAAATTAACTAGAAGATCATTACTTCTAATTCTAGTTTCTAATAAGCCCTCCCAGTTTCTCTGTATACAGAACAAATCTGATACTATAATCAGAATTGCTCAGTCTGCATGAAGCAGCCGATTTCATCAAGGAAGTTCAATTCTTCTTCTTTCCTTTATTTAACGTCGGTCTCTGTTCCGCAATCTAGTGCCAATCACCGACGGACATCGATTGCCATCCATTGACGGCAATCGAATGTGCAGGAAGGCAGCTTCCACACCTGCGTAGGATATCGCACCCATTCAACTCACATGGGCCGGGACCAACGGCTTTACTTCCCTTCCGAAGGAAGACGTAACCAGAGATTTTTATGCCTCAGAAAAATCCCACCGACCTCGGCTGGGATTGAATCCAGACCCATTGGGGTGTTAGAAAGCAGTCACGCTTACCACAACACCACCGGCGCCGGCTCAAGAAAGTTCTATTAACAACCAAGAATTAAACGTTTGAGGCATACTGAAGCATTAAGAAGGTGATATGTGTCACTATAGGAAATCATCATCGTTGCAAATATAAAAAAAAATAAACATAACCCTTTGCTTCAGTACCGTCAACCTCCATGTCCATGGGGAGGGCGTGTTTCAAAAGTTGGTGCGAGTACTGAAAGTCTAAATAAGATTGATTGTAATTTTTGTTGGGTAAAACGGGTAAAATTTTAAATTATTAAAAATTTGCGGAAAATTTAATCAAATTTCTAATTAAATTTATAGAAGCATTAACATTTGTCAAGTCAATTATTTTCTAAACACATGATTTGTAAACGGATTTTTTTTTATTATTATTGACCAGGAAAACCGGGAAAAAACCTGATATTTTAAAATGAAAATTCAGTTGCCACCCTGGAGTATGAAAGATCAGTGATAAATCTAGATGAATAATTAGGTATTATTATTCTTCGAAATATGCTTTGATCGATTCTCTACCGCTATTCCTATCTACTGTTTTGCTATTTCGAATTTCGCGCTATTTTTGCCACAGTTTGATGAAGGAAGTTCTTCTCTATGGTTCAGAACATCAAACAACAGGGAATGTTTTTGCAGCTGAGTTTAAGCCAAGTTCAAGTTATTCATTTACGCCAACCTCGGATTAACATTTAATCACTTCCCTGTGCGGATTATCCGCAAAATGTTTGTTTAGAGTCGTGTTGATTAAATCTGATGTCCACATCAAAGCAGCCGGACATGCTTGATCGTGATTTAATCCGAAGAGTTGGAGCTTACCGCCATTAATGAATACTTATACTTTTATCTCACAACATTCGATTCTGGCGAGGGGGGGGGGGGGGGTGGGGAATAAAAAATTGATTGATTTCTTTATTATAGAGACTTTCAGCGGGGGAATAGAAAATAATATAACTTGAAATAAGAAATTATACCAAAAGTATATTTCAAGCATTTGCATTATTTTTTAGAAAACAAGGCGGAATTAAAAGAGAAGGCAGCATTTTTGAAAATGCTGAATTCCCAAATGGCAGAATCCCTGATTTCCAAATTCCAAGAGGTTGAAAAAGGCACGCACGAGTCAAGTGGACCACTTGCCCGCATGTGACCTTTTCGGCCTTTGATGAATGTAATTATTTTATTCAATACATTTTCTGCCTTTTTAAGTATTCCGCCTTTGAACATTTCCTGAAAATTGTTCTCCCATTTGAAATTCTGCTTCTAGATTTGTTATGCCTTTTGAAATATTCGGCCTTACAATAATTCTGCATTATGTTTTTCTGCCTTTCGACCGCGTCATTTTTTTAGCATGGGATCTACTTACATGCTTCTCAACAAAGGAATTCAAATGCAAAAATTCAGTAAAAATCAAATTTTCCCAGTTTTCAAATGTGTTGCTACCTTTATAAATTTGAAAATGTTGTAAACCTAAACACTGTTACAAATATAAGAAATATCTAAATTCAAATTATTTTATGAACTTCAAGATTTCAAGCGCAAATCAAGACTTTTTGTGCAAATCAAATTGAATCTTACATTTCTAGGTTGGGTGTATGAGCCATGATTATGAACTCTGTTATGAACACTTCCAAAGTTACAGAATAAAAATTTGCCGACCATTCTGAAGAAAATTTTGATTGTGATTAGAATTACAGGAAAATTTTAACGATATGAGGAATTCTGGATCAAATAATATATCCAATACAAAATAAATTAAAAGGATAGGGTTAACTAACCCATTTCCGGCCTATTAAGCACAACCCGCACTTAGTCTTTCTTAATCTAGCGCAGTTTAGCACCAAAAGGAATGTTACTATTACTGATGGCTTCCAAATTTATTTACCTTTCCGTACGTACCGTA